CCCAGATTTGGTGCCTAATCACAGGCAGGAGACAGCCATGTGAATGTGCAAAGGTTTGTTCCTGTGAGCGTATGCAGACTCAGAAGCTGGAGGAGGAGGGCCACCGGCTGATCCTCCATCATTGAGAGTATTGTTGCAGGACTGAGGTAAGTCTTCAGATCCCTAAGAGGTTTACTATCAGCACTCGATCCATCAGCTGAACACACAGAACAATGCCTGAAACCCCACAATTACACCCGTGCATTAGTCACCAGGGCAACGGCGAATTAGCCTTGTTTTGTCTCAATCCAGATTCCTTTCATTTAGGGGAAAGGTTAGCTCTGTAAACCCAGAGAAACGTGCAGGTCAATTCAGTTTCACAACCAAGGTCTTTCACACTTTTATGCAGGCTTCAGTTTTAAGAATAAAACCTCAAATTCTTTGATGTAGCAATGTTGTAGCACAATTAACAGTAAATAAATTACATAACAGTTTTGGAGCCACATAACAAAATCTTAAATAAGGATGAGGAAACGGAAGATTAACTGGCTTAAAAATTGCAAAACCACACAAAAGGTGAGATAACATTTCCCAGTTTACGAAACAAAATCTGATTTCAAAAGCCACAAGTCTAGCTCTGCAATTGAGTAACAGTCTAAAACTTGCAATTAAATATGTAAAGGTTGATATATTTACAGCTTTGTTTAAATCAGTCAAATTTCATTGTTAAAGCACCTTTTTACAGCATTATTTTTAAAAAAGGGCTTCTCGGATTCAAAGACAAATCCCAAAACAGATGCCACTTCATGAAACAGGGTCACATTAAGAAAGTCATGACAATGAGAAGAGGTAAGAGGATAACAAAGCAGTTTGTTCGAACCTCTGCATACGTATATTAAATTATACAGTGCCTTGCTCACCTGTACTTGTCTGTCCAACCTCTTGTAAATCTCTCAGTGCTCATCTTCTATTCTGCAGATGCAAACTGACACAGTTAAAAACCAGGAAATAAAGAGGTTTTATGTACAACACAGAAGCTCACTCGATTTTACAAGCAGTTTACACTAAGCATAGTCAGGTAAAATGCATAGGAAGCAAACAAAGCCAGCTAAGATGCAGATGCCTGACAGTCATTTCTGAAATGGCTTTGTAATCATATTTGATCATGGTGAGCTTCGCTCACATTGAAATGACAGTGTATCAAGGATTGCATAATCTGAGAAAGCTGATGGACATTTAGTGATTACATTTTCCACTGTGTGATATGTAGGAGACTGTAATAAAGGAAAGAGAATCCTCAGAAAATATCAGTGGTGAAGGGTTTTCTAAAAATATTCCAGCAGACCAGGCCATTAAATAAAAGAATAAAAAACAGTTTTATTATTGTCATTTTAATCTTCAAAACTCTTACAATGCATCTTTAGAACAAAAATTGGAGCTAACTTAATAGATACTATGAAAGCTGAGCATTTTGCCAAATTGTTTATATTTTATTTATATTTCTAGTTTCTCCATTTTATCCTGTAAAGGCTCACATTTTTGTAATTTTTTGGGTTGTAATGATTCCAAGGTTTAGAGATTTTAGACTTGTGTTTCATTAAGAAATGCAGAACCATTGAAACAGCTCTAAAATTGGTGTACAAATGTATACTGATTAGAATCACTGAGGATTTTGCCATCAGTCTTTTTCCCTATTATGTGTAAAACATCAGGAAGGAATTGCTTGCTAATGTGAAAAAGCAGGTATATAACATTTCTGGTACTTGATTATTGACATACCTATGAAGCACCATCTGATTATCTATGGGTTGTAGCAACCAGATTCACACCAGTGACAATAGTTAGGGCTGCAGGTTCTTTTTTTAAGAGCTCATATCCCCTGTACCAAGGAAAGGACATTTCCACCAGCTCCCATCTGCTAGATTCAGTGCTATCATGACTCACCCCGTGTAGGTTTTCAAGTTGTAAGGAACACTATCTGCACCAGCTATATCAAGTACTCTGCAGCCCCATATTTTTGGTTTTGACAGGTATTGCTTCAGTCTTTGCCGGCCTCAGAATAGGGCCATGTGTTCATTGATCACCAGCTTATCGCCCTTTTGGCCTGAAGTTAGTTTTGAGAATGAATAAAAACAATGAAATAATGGCTGTATAGTGGATCATCATGTTTTCATCTGGAACAACCCCGACTTATGAACTATCCATCTTGCATCCATCTCCTGTTGCTGTTAGTCAATAATAAAGTAAAAAAAAAATAATTATTTTGTAATCAACTGCATATCAACACTCTAGAATTATATTGTCTGAACAAAAGGGTCCCAACTGTGCAATGTTGCTCTCAGGCAACAAACAAAAGAAACACAGTTTATAAAAAAAGAAAAGTGTCTTGAAATGACCTACAATGCTTCTTTACATAGTCACAGACATTCAAATTTTTAGTTACCCCAAATTTAAACAGGAAGAAAAGTGATATATAACTTACAAGTAGGAGGCAAGGAGTACCATGCAACTCCAAGTAAATGGCTGCATCAACCTTAATATCTCTTTTATTTGGTCAAAAATATGTCGGGTGGTACTTTAAATTATGCCTCCCAAAAAATAAAATAAAGGAGCAACGTGAGGTACAGAAATGCGGTTTGTTCATGTGTAAGGTAAACTTATTATCAGTAAATCGGTTTTCATAGAGTTAAGAATAAATCATGTATTTTTGTGATTTGCTTGTACAGATGGGGTTTGTAATCAAAAGAAAAAATCAGTAGCTGGTGAAAAGAGGAGTGTATGTGTTAGAATAGGCTACATGATATTGATTTAACACAATAGTCCAATAGTAAAATGATAATATTACATTTTTACATTAAGTATGTTTTTTATGACATGTCCAATTCATCTGCAGAATAGCACAATGAGATTTTTCTTTGTGAATTTAGCTCAGAATTGGAAGTGAAATTTGCTCCAGACCTGGAATATAAATGAATAACAGATCAAGCAACTGCCCCAGGGAACCACACAGTGTCACAACTGTGCTTTACCTTTTAAATGTCACTGAAAGGACACAACTAAAGAGAGACACAACACGACTTAAAGCACACACACATACACACAAGAGCCACTGTAAAAACTCCATAGTTGTATAAAATACATCAAAAATGTTGAAATTTAACTAGAACTAAAAGAGAGCACAAAGCATGACAGTTAACACAAGAAATGAAAATTATTATGAAGATTGAACCAAGACAAATAGATTACATACATCGTTTCTGTGAAAATTATTTGCTTGTTATTGCCATTACAACCCTTTAACTTGCTTTTTTATTTTTTGTATTTTAAGACTTCACAGCCAAGACAAAGACTCTCCTACTGAAACATTTCACATGAGAAAAAGCAAAAGCAGAACACTTGAAATTCTACCGTTGTTGGTATATGGGTCTTATGTTGTCCAGAAAACTTGTCTTCAAAGGTAAAAATCTCCAAAGACGTGACGAGAAATGTAGTTTCTTCCTCTCTGATCGGCTGTGATGTTATTTGACAGTTTGTTAATTTCCCTTGTTGTACTGTTCCCTGACCCACAGCAGACCAACAGCAGAACATTGGATTAAGCTAATATCCCTGGTTGGTTAATAACCCAGTGAGAAAGTATTTGTGAATAGCTATAATCCTTAGATATTTAACAGTATGGAATGTGTAAGGTGCTCTAGTATCATAATACATTTCTTTTTTTATATTTAACTAAAATAACATTGAACAAAACAGTGGAAAAGTTTATGGTCCGTTGTCCTCAAAGTGATTTCTTGTACAGCATTTTGAAAAGTACAAACCTCAGTTTATATTACAAGTATATTACAAGTTTATATTACAAACACATTATTACGACTAGAATTACTTCTAGACATGTTTGCTTGTTAGCTTGAATGCAAAATTATTAGCAAAGGTTATTAAGGTAAGCAGACTAAAATCCATTAGGTTACTTATTTTTACATTTTCAGCTAATGACTAACATTAATATTGCAAGAGAATCTTTCTCTACCTCCCACATTCAATAAAAATGTGTTGCAGCTCCTCTCATCAGGCTCATACTCAGGATTGATCTTTGCCATCCAATGCCTGATTAATTTTACCACACTTAATATGAATGTTGTTTCTGATGCCAGTAACTTCACTTTCTTGAAAGGAAGACTGAGTTAGGTAATAATTGTAATGTCAACTTCAGTCTGGCTTGCAAACGTATTCATGTCCTTGAACTGCTTCCACATTTTGTCATATTCCAAACACAAATCTTATTAGGCCTTCGCAACAACAGCACTGCAAAAGCCTATTGTTGTTTTTTTCATATTGTTTATTATTATGATTCTGCCCTCTAAAGAGGGGGCTTTTTGAGGGCTTTATCATTTTCAAAATCTCACCTAACTTGGCGGATGCATACAGCCTGTGTGAAATTTACGTATTTTAAGGTTGTCCCAAAAGAAATGACTCAACAGCGCCACCTAGCAACTTTCAAAAACCCGTCTGCTGTGGGTCTTTTGACCATAGAAAATTTTCATCGTACTGACATAAAATTTGGTACACCTGTAGAGCTCCCCAAGATGCACAGAAAGTACAATTTATGTTATAATGCAAGGCAGACAGGTTGTCGGCCATTTTGGATTGAAGTTCCAATTTTGACCCCATTTTGGCTGTTAACAGCCTTCACATTTGATTGATTTCCTCCTAGGGATTTCGATTGATCGGCTTCAAACTCGGTCAATTTGTTCATAAGGCATGGTTGATTAAAATGTATCAAAACGCTGAGTTTTCGTGCATGCTGAAGGGTCGTTACCAGTGGTCAAAGTTCACCTACTCGCCATGAAACACGAAACTCTTATACCTCATACACAAAAACTCCCAGAAGTGATTGATCATCATCGGGTGTCCTACAGTAACCAATGGTCAAATGATAACAACACTTAGGCCACGCCTCCTGAGAACAGACACCACAGAAACTCTAACAAAGCTTCTGGACAAAATAATCCACATCATGCTCTATATTTGTATAGTCATTTTGAGTCTTTATTCATTTCGTTATGTCTCTGATGTACAGTAGTGTTATTAGAGAATAAGATGACGAAAAGGCACAAATTCACAATAAAAAAAAAAAATAGGAGACAAGGTAACAGGAGTGAGAGAAAAAGAGATACAGAGAGATTTAAAAACAGTTCAGGATTATGGAATCATTTGGTTTCTTCATACTCCAATTAAAAATCAAGGAATCTAAAAAGAGATATATTAGATTGCCTCTGTTAAAATATGTTCTCTCCTAACTTTTGTGTGTTTGAGCTCTTAAAATCACCCTTCTTTCAGCATCTGGAAACCACAATCCTTGTTAGGGTACTTCTGTGCTTCCGTTGAAGGCCAGGTAGGATAATCGTCTTTCATGGCCAACAATCCGCACAACAATCCGACATGCATTGGGGATCCACTTTGACGATTTTGCCATGATGTGGATCAATGCACAATGTACCAAGATACAGTAACGTTGATCTTTTCAATGAGAGAAGAGAGTGTGATCCAGAGATTGACAACAGAGGTACTACAACATTCAGAACAAAAATATATATTTATACACTGTCCTGCCAGTGAGAAGACGTCCCTCTGAGGGACAGTGAATGGGGTGCTTGCTTCACTTCAAATGTTTTCCTCTGAATACAAATAGCAAAGCTCAGCTCCTAGCTGCTACTTAATTTTTATATGTAAAAATTACTGTCCTAAATAAATACATTTCATATTGTTCTAAACAATTTCTTACCTGCACTAAATTTTAGCTACTATAACTCTACATTTTCACACTCATATGTTTCTGTAGGAGTCTGTGAGGTTTTTCAATGATGGATCAAGAGTGTTTGGGAGGGTGTTGTGCACACTTGGCAGGACAGTCTCATCTATATATATGTGTTCATTTACATTAATTTATTTACTATTTACAAAGTCAGTACACACAGTACATCCACAAATCTCCATGACCCAGTTGACAAACCCAAACAGAGAGGGATGATGGACACAGACGTGGAGGGGTGGGACATCCATGTTCTCTTCAGAGGAGGTAAAAGACAGTGGGAAGCAATTTGGCTACTGAGGGCCAAAAGTGCCACGAGTCAATGCATAAAAAGATGTTAAACAAACGTATAAAATCCATTGATTTAGCACAAAATACTTTATTAAAATAATCTAATCAAATACATTGTTGAATTAGGAAACAATTACTTAAATTGTCCATTCATCCTGTTAAAAGGATGCTTGAATACATCAGTATTCAAGCATGCAATAATCCCATATTGCATGTTATCAAGAATTTATTTGCCTTACCTGACAAGGTAAGTGGGTGGGGCTAACTGCCAAGCAAATGGCATTCACAGATGATTGGTCTGTAATTGAGCTGTGTGGCTTTTGAGTACATAATTTATTCAACATATAACTGTTGATTTTCACTAGATTTCATTAGCTTTTTTTAAACACATTTGTTTCATAAATAATTATATGAATACAAAACAAAACATATTTATAAATTTTGAATATATTTATTGACATTTTATTTAAAGTCTTACTGATGTAAATAATGATTCATCAGTTTATTAGTTCATTGGATTGTGTCACTTTTGATCCTTGGTAGACCTATTGAATTACAGCGCTGCGAGAAAAAGACTTCTAACATAACAAAAGAAGATTCTAGAAAGTATAGATAATAATATCTAAAAAAAATATAAAAATCAGTTCAATTTCAGGGTTTACTGTGAAACAACAAAACTGAAAAATGACTGAATTTGTTTATACTTAATAGGTCAGACTTAATAAACTGACCTAAAACCTAATTTAGGATTAAAATTATGTCAGTGATGACAACATAATGATTCATCTTTGTGGCAAATAAGCGTTCCTGTAAACACAATTTCTACAACAGAGGGATCAGTAAGGCTTTGTAAAATGTCAAATTAAAGCTGCTTTTTTGAAAACAAACTATGACTGGACTTCATGTGGTCTATGTCTAATAAAGGCCAGTGGGAAGCTCTCCCACTGAACCTTTTATTTATTATTGTAAATAATTTTTTATATAAATTCCACATATGTGTCCAGAACTAAGCCTTTGAAATTGTTGGACATAAAGTTCCAAAAATAAAAATAATTTTATATTTTATTGCCTCCAAATTTTGTGGCAGTTTTTTGTAGCGATCCAAATATAATCAATCAATATAATTGATTGACTCCTTTATGTGATCTCTTGCACACTCTCCTGTTAAAGTACATGGAATAATAAAGTGTATGAAACCTATAACATAAGAAATAGAATAATAAAAAAGGACAAAGGAGACAATAAAAACAGAACAATGATGTCGAGTGAGCTGTTCCTCACTTCTTCACCCAGTCATTCATCAGCTCTCTGCAAACTGTCACACCACTAATCGTTACTCATTCAGTCCTAAGCATAATACCAGAGAAAATGAGAAAGAGCAATGAAATAAATAGCAGGATAGCACTCTATAGAAAGACTAACACTTAAAACCAGCACTTCTGTTAATCTCCTGACATTCAGCTCAGGCTCTGCTTTCCTAAAACTGACCTCACAACAGAAATAAACTAAGAACTAAAACAGACTTGTGATGATAAAAAAGGAGACCTAACATGTCATGACAGTTATTGCTTTTGCTGGATAAGACCATTTATCCACTGGAAATGACACATCAAGAAAAAAAATAGTCTTGTCAGAAAAGAAAAACGGCAATCCTCAAATCATTTATGGCTGTTTTCATTTACCGTATCAACAATTAACATTTAATCTGAATTTTTTTAGACTATTTCTACCTAAATATTCATAAACTTAGACATAATCTTCATATTACTGCATGTTTACCCAGAGCTTGAAATAATGTGTTTGAAGAAAAACTTGGCTGGAAACTTTGATGACCTATCAATACACACCGGCACACAACAGAAGCGTGCACACACACACAAACTCACAAAGCAGCAGAAAACCTGACAAACACCTTGAAGTCAGAAGGCAGGTACAGGGGATAAAACCTTTCTGGCTGGTTAGAAGTACACAGCAGACTGCATTACACTATACTGATGTGCCACTGTGATATTTTGTCTAAAATATGTCCTTAGTTGCAGAGAAGAACGACAGTGTTCTCACTGTTCTCTGTAGTTTAGAACAAAATTGAGAGAAAAAGGTCGGAGTAACTCACAATATCAGTAATGGTGCTACTGGAGGCCTTAAAAAGTTTAAGCGAGGTGGAATCAGAAAATGAGTTAAAACAGCGATACAAAATAAGACAAGTAGGACTCAAGGAAGGACAGATGATGTAGAGGAGATCAGCTGAAAACTGGGAGTGTACTGGGTCCAGGTCCGAGAATACCAAAATGTACTGTGGAAAGTAGGATTTGGACCATCCAGTCAGACATATCAGTTGAGACAAAAGGAGGAGTGAATCCGCTGGTTTCAGGTCTGATCTGGGGGGAAAGGGAGACATGAATGAGAGAGAGTAAAAACAAAAGCAAAGTTTGAACCATGAAGAAAAGAAGTTAACGTGTAGATATGCTGACGGACGAATCTACACATCTGATTCCATTGCAACTCTGCTTACCTGAGGAGCGGCAGCATTTATGTCCAACAAAGTCTCAGTCCTCTAGCGCCACCATTCCTTTCACAGGATCCTTGACTCTCATCTGACGAGAATATACAACAACATGCTCGTTTGAGTGAAGGGTGTTGGATGATAGATGACAAACTAATCACAGCCTGTGTGCAATTGCAATGGGGTTGTAGCATAAGCGCTAAAACATCGTACTAACAACAACGCTTATCAGTTAACGCAGCTGTTTTCACTATTGTAAAGGTGCTTAAAATAAAGTGAAGTGAATCACTAAAAAGTGTGAGAAATTTCTAGAGGAAGCTGCAACCTTCAAATTAAGATCTTTTTAAAAATGTTGTGCTTTAAATCTAAGAAGTTGTAATATTTAAATTAGAGTAGAACGATCTTTTTAATACTGTCATTTATTGTCTCAAAAGAGAAATATGAATTTACTAAAAAAGCCATTAGCAGACTGGAACTTAAAAAACTGATTCTCAGGTCGTCCTGCATCTGAAATGTCGGTCCAGTGAGTTTCACCTGTAGATAATTTAGTAGCCATCTTTGGATTTCGATTCTGAGTTATTAGAAACAGGTTTTATATAAGTGTAAGCGATTTGGCTGTATGTGGTATTTCTTTTGGCTTACTTCATCTAGCTCCCTACGAGTCTCCTCCTCCATGCGACGAATATCGTCCATGTTCAGTTCAATCCACTTATCAATCCAGCAAAACAGTTGGCGATGGAAATTTGTGAACAAGCGCTTCTCTTGCTGTAAGACAACAACGGAAAAAAATCAAATACCTTATTGTGGCCCAAGAAAGATAGATGCTTATTTCCTTATGAATGGATATAAGTAGCACTATCATAATTATTTATGCGTTATTACCACACTTCAAGCTGCTGTACTGTCAACTATTCTTAGCACATTAAACAAAACTAAGATCTGGAAATTCAGTGAGAAATGTGTATTATTCCCTGACTCGACTACTATCTTGTACAAAAGTTGAAAAGCAACTTTTCAACTTGCAACAATGCAAGAAAAAACAAAAGTCAACAAACCTTTTGGATAAAGTTCTCCACTTTATTCTGCAGACCCCACCACTTGAATTTGACAGTGACCAGTTTGTAGGCACACATGTGTGGGCAGTCTTTCTTGTTAGGAAGCTCCTTCTGCATGTAAACAGAAACGGTAGCATTAGGGTTGTCATACGCAACAGAGAACTACTGATACACGTTTGGACTCAGTTTTAATGTTTAAACCGACTGTTTATAGATCTGTAGCAGAAATGAAACAAAGCCTAATATAATTACCACAGCTACTTCAGCTGTGGGGATGATTATGGGAGGTTTATGCATTAAAAGTTATTGTTTCAAAAGCACAAAAATATGTTCTCATACTGTTCCCAAGAAAGAGTCAGAGTAACAATTTTATTCAGCTTTTAGAAGCAATTGGTGCATTTTATTTATACAAAGAACAGAAGTCATGTTTTCTATGCTCCAAGACAGAAATACAACAAGGACATTCAAAGTTGAAATCATGCCTTGGGAAGTTGTAAATTAACAGGTGCAGGTGGAAACTATTGCAGAAATTTGTGTCTTCTTCTTGTGTCTGATCCCCTCAGGACAAAATGTTAGCTTAGAGAACTCTCTCGAGACATCATAGCTGCTGGACAACATAAGCCAGTGGGAGGGTGATTTTTTTCATTTGGCAAATTAACAGAAGAAGTCGCATGTGCGTTTTATGGAAGCTAACATCGAGACATGGTCCAAATACAAATGAAAGTATTAAGGAACAATAAATGAAACACAGCTGAAAATGTATCTCTTTAGGTTAAGTTACTAATATCTTTCAGAACAAAAAGTTGAGAAAAACACGAAAGTGCCCTTCCACCTTGAAAGATCAACAAGGGCTTTATGCAGGATTAACCATCAGCTGTTTCACAACATGTGAAAACCAAATGCTAGGAAAGCCTCCACAGAGAGTAGCAACAAAAACATTCCAAAACCCAATAATGAAACCTCTATGAATCTATTTTTTGACACCACAAATAATAATGTAATAATAGGAGGCAACACATAATACAAAATGTAGCATTTCTTGTTAAGATGAAAATGTTGGTATTGTTTACCTTCCAGTCTGGTCCTAGAGGACCTCGTCCTGTCTTTGCTGACTTGAACCTGCAGGGATCCTCCTCTGGTTTGTAGTCCTGATACAGACCGGAACAAACAAGATGTATGTGAGGCACATAACAACACAAACTACAGCTGTGTTTATCATTCCAGTAGTAAAAATGGGCTGGCTGATTTACCTTTGGCTCCACCTGGCTTCTGTCTGCAATATCAATATAGACTACATCCACCTTTTTCCAGGTTTCTGCATCCAAACCGTGTACCTAAAATACAACCACAGGGCAAAGTCAGGAAATGTGTCTACAAATTCTAATTAAATACAAAATTGTTATGCAATGTGTTCCTAATGTCATAATTATGAGCCTCAGCTCAAGAAAAAATACAATTCAATAAATGTTTACCATATAACATGACACAGAAGTGCAAGATTTGACAAAAATCATGTCTGATCAACATTTTAAAATAATAAACTTAAAGGTCTTTATGATGGTAAGTAATAGACTACCACAAAATAAATAGATATGGTGTCAGAGGAAAGTGATAAATGGCTTTCAATTTTTGTTATTAATAAAAATCTAACAATTGTATTTGTATTTAGCCCCCTTTATACAGATGTTCAGTGCTACAATTCACCCTCTGAAGTCACCTCATAAGTAAATGGAGTCTATTTGTTCTGCAAAGACCACAGTGCTGTGGTTTGAATATGCATCACAAACACCAGAAAATAACAGGAGAAATTTTACTTCTAAAACAAAAATTGTACAGGAAAGATTGTTTGGATGCATGCTACTGTCTGTAAATGGAAAAGAAGTTGTTGATGTTGGTGTTGGATGGTAAAAGGAGGGAGAGAAGGAGCAACAGAAGACAACAGTGAAACAACAACAACTTAGAGATCAGTTGCAGCATCACCCACATTTCTTGATTTTATATAAGCAAAAACCCTAACAGTGCTAGATATTTGTTATAGGTTGTTCTGATCAGGGTAATGCAGCATCAGTGGTTGTTGTGTCTGTTATATTTATCAACCACAAACTATTGATTTCAGCTGATCATCCCACGACTTAAATGTGATTTTCTGATGTGTTGACAATTTATTAAGGTTTTCTCTTTCATACCTGAATTCAAAATATTGTTCAGACATAAAAATACACTTCCATAGCTTATGATCTTATTCACTAACATTTTCCTGGTGTCCCAAGTCAGGTTTGTGCCACGTCTCAATCTTGATCAGGAAGTTATCTTTCATATACTCATTCTGCAAAGAAAAACACAGACAACCCTGAGTGAAAGGAGTAAAGCACTTTGAAAGAATCCAATGTAAAAATCTATAAAAGGTTCAGCTAACAAGGATCTGTATCTTGCTGTCGTTCACTAACACCCAGTTACACAAACACAGTCTGGTGTATTGCTATCCCTGTTACAGTCTCACTAAAAGATCACATTTCTTTCTCAGCTTTCAGGTTAGGCACCTTCTCCTTGTGCATCTCAGCTTATGTGTTGATTTCTGAATTCTTCAAAGCAAACGCAAGCAAAAGTAATACTTACAGTGATGACTGCAGAGCCAGGTGGGGAAAAAAGTGCAGCCCCAAACACAGACAAAAGACACAATTAATGGCAGCAAACAATATCTCAGAAAGCTATTAGCATTTGCACAAGCTGTCAATCTCAAAATGATATGAGAGCAGTGTTTGAGATGCAGAGTTGGTTTGTGTCTTTAAATGTGTTTGTGTGACAGATGGCGGTCTGGCAGCTGGCAGTGTGTACGGGTGACGGGATCTTTGCCTGAACGGCTCAAGTGATTCCACGACTCTTCTCACAGGACATCTAGTAAATTATTCAACTACTCCTTGAAAGTGACAGAGACCCAAAGGCACAAGGAAAGAAGAGAGGAAGAGAGGAATCTAGAGCATGAAAGCACTTTTTACCTGAAGTAATTTAATACGTTCAGAAATATTTAATCAAATTTTTCAAGACTACAATCCATTGTTTGCTTTAGCTAACAATAACGTCACACCGAAATGTGCACTGGGTGTGTAAACAAAACTGTTAGCATTGGTAATTTGGCCAGGAGATTAGCTCCATTGCAGGAAGATATTCACAACTTATTCCCAGAAGGGATTTGGAACGTCCAGGGTCTCGTCCAAAAGTAGATCATAATTAAAAAATTAGGCTCAAATGTTCAATCAAGTCTAGACAAAATTAATGTACTTACTAGAAAAAAAACCCACAGTGTGTAATTTTACATACCTGTACGACAATAAGGGTATGCGTTCCAGGCTTTCTCATGGATGTTCAGAGCTGAAGATGGAGCCAACATTCTAACGAATGATGGCACTTTACTACAGGAGAATAGAAAACAAATTATATGAGTTTAACTGCTGTGATTCCAGCTACCTTGATATCCAAAGGTGGTATAATTTTGGACATCTAGCAAACATAAATCACCAAATCTGAGGAGGTGAAAGTGGCAAGAAGAGCGTTAGAGACATGAATACTACCATATGGCATTGCTAATGCAATTAATGCACCATCATTATTAGAAGAAAAAAACAAGTCACTGCAAAAAGGTCAATCATACAAAACTGATCTATGGACAGGCAACAATCAAAGTGTTTAATTCTTGGCTTAGTTATTTATTTAAAATACTTTTAGTTTGTGTCATCAGAATTTGAATATTTCCACCATTGACACACTGATAACATGCATTTGTACATTTCATGACACTTTTTATGTCTGTAGGTAATCTGAATAACCGGAACAATAATATTAACCATAGTATATTTAAAAACTTTTTATTAGAGTAAAATAAAGACCAAACTGCTACACTATTTGGTCCGAAGAAGCATTCTAAAGTCTTGAGTTTCTGGTGACTGAAAGATGTGGAAAAGGTCTGAGTGACTATAAAGAAAGAGAATGGACTCAAGACGGAAAATGAGAAATTCATCCTGTGTAAATGTGATATGTGGTATCTCTAAAAGACACACTTTCTGGAACACATCTTGTGAAAATGCTTACCTCTGCAAATGGTAAATTTTGTGTGTGTACTGGCCCTTCTCTCCATCCTTCTCATAGGGTTCATTTTTTAGCACCTCTACTCCTTCTCCTCCGCCCGTCTCATTCTTACTGGCTTCAGCTACAGAGTACAGCTGGCCCACCTGGTACTGAGGAACAGAACAATGGATTGGACTGTTAGTCAAAATCGAGTAAAAGAAAAGTCTATTGTCACAGGTTATATTTAAAATTAATACCATGTTTTTTCTCTTATAATGGAGCTCTGAATTATTTCATCTGTTGTTGCAAAGATCACAAACTCCTTTCTCTTTCTCCTCATTTTACCTCCGTCTCCATCTTGAGGCTTTGCTTAGTTCAAACAATTTCAAAATAGAAAACAATGGTTTCCTTTTTTTCTTAATCAGCTCTAATCCATCATATAACCTCAACAAATCTGAGCCTTGGCACAATTACAACACAGCAAGTATGAAGTGACTCAATAAAGGCTCAATTACTCTAGTGTTTTCACAAATAAGATGTTTATTTTCATTTTTCTAGCATTTCGAACAGCAAAGTTCAAACTATGCAAGCACAATTGAGTCAATGATGGGAAGAAATGAAAATGGTAATAGATATTTTTAGCTAGAAGGTGTGAGGCTGAAGAAATTAAAATAACTTTTCACTCATGCCTTTAATTATAGGCAATTCAAACTCACAGGATAAAATTTGTTTTCTTTTTTTATGTTATTGAATTTTCTCAAACTAAATTAAACTAGTTCATGGACATACACTGAAAGAGTGAACTAATGGCAGAATGAATAAGGAGGTTGGGTAGTTGGCAACATTTTCACTTAGTTGCAAATAACAGAAGACAACAGTTTCCAAGTCACTTAGAAACAAAAACGTTTCTCCCTGGCTCTTTTTCACTCATGACTCATTCTAAGAGACTTAGGCTGCTGGAGGACAAACTGATCACTCCCTTTACTAATCTCCAATTAACATTATATGCTGTTATTTGCTGAGATAAATCTGCCCACAACTAAACTCTCTCCCTGCTGAAGTAGAGTTTTTACTGTTCATTAACATAGACTGGCAACTTGCCAGTCTCAGATCGATACTTGTACACAAGGCAATGCTTGTAAAAAAGAAAAAGAAAAAAAAAAAACTAAGTGAGCACCTGTCCAATTTGTATGGAAAGACAAGTGAAATCACAGACAATCTGCAGAGCAACTGCTATGTACAATACAGGCAATGAACAAACAAAATTGGATCTGAACGTTTGATCAGTTCTTGTTGACCTAGTTAGGCAAGACTATATGTATAAAGAATATTATCACATTTAAGTGTGCAAAATGTAAGTGGTATACCATTCATTAGATCTTGATTGATTCAATCTCACAAAAAAATCTTGAAATGTGTGTTTGCTAAAGGTTATGTGGGTTGTTTATACTTCTTTTCTGAACCTTTGCAGATGATAAAAATGTTTTTGTTTCCCAATAACTGAAAAAATACCTGATTTAAATATTTAGTTTCTGGCATAATTTTATATTAGTTACTTCTTCTGACTGATGCATTGTATTTGAAATTTTGTGTAAGACATAACTAAATCATAAAAGTCAATATTATGAGGATCAGTCAGACATCAGCGAAGCCTTAATAGAGGGGGAAACTGCAGTTGAAATAATAATGGTAAGGCCCAAGCAGATGGAGAGAGGGAGAGATGCAGGGAGAGAGAGAGAACAAATGAGAGAGAGAGCTGTTTGTTTTAAAAAGTCCTATTTAAAGGAACGACTTTCACGGTTCCTACACATTTTGCATGTCAACAAATCACACTTGTCCAGTCTCAAATCTCCAGAGTTTTACTGTGTTTAAGCTCATGTCCTAAAAGCGGAAGTGAATCCGTCGATGGATAGACGGATGCATGGATGGATGGAGTCAGCTGAGTCACACACAGATATTGAAGAGTTTTAAACTACACTTACCTCTTCCACAGAAATGGGAAGAATCACTCGACTGCAAGGAAAAAAAAAGAAGTTATTCAAATAAAGACTCCGAAGTGTTACTTCTCCTAAACAGAAATATCACACAAGAGAACAAAAAAGAGATATCCATGAGGTTACATACTGAACTGCTTTAGTCAACCCAGCAACCCAGATTGGCCTAGATTGCAAGTTTAGCCTTGTGAGAAACATGAAGTTAAATCCTAAAGCATTCTTTCTCTAGAAATTAATTTATGACAGTTATCGACCTAAAACTTTGCCAAAACTCAGAAACTGACAAAACAATAGTTCTATCTTGGAACCAAACTGAATAAAAGCAATACATTGATAAATGAATGCGATCACTGCTTTCCAAGAAGCATTGAGGATGTTGCAACATGAGGGTAAAAGAAGAAATTGAATGGAATTTAAAATAGGAATTTCAATATGTTTGAATTAGATTTCTGAATAGGTGATGTTCAGGCTTATATTTCAGAGCTCATTTAGCAGAAGTCAAAAAAAATGTTGTTGATGTGCTGCTTTTTTTTTTTAGATTTCTACGATACGCCTGAAAGTGTCAGTAATTCTCTGTTCCAATCTTTGTTTACAAGAGCATGAAGAAGGCTGCTGGCTAACAAATGATCCTAAATGTTACAGATCATCAACAAAATGATGATGTGGCTCTTAGTCAAATTTCCTCGCACAAAAAAAAAAATATATATGCAAAACATAAGTTTATGCACAAATAATAAATGATACACTTGCAAACAAAGCACGTTGTTAAGTGCAGAATTTCTTTGTGAAGGAACAGGAAGACATATTTGCATTTCAGTTTGCTTAAGGATCTTTCATTGAGCTAAGCTATTAATTGACAGCTTATCTCATCCAGTTGCCATTACAACACTAAGATCTTCCTCGATTTTACTGAAGTTGGGACGCACTGATTTCAGTTTTTAGTCTAATGAATCTGAAATGGTCAAAAGTTCAGCTGCCGCTAAAATAGGTGACTTGTACAGGACAATTTTACTTTGAGAAGCATTAAAACCCCTGAATATCTGCTTTACATTTTAATGGTGTGAAGATATGGGTATTTTATTGTTACAGGATTTCATGTGGTAAAAAGATGATCTGGTACAGTTTTACACAAAATGTTGAAGTTTTGCCCTGTACATTTTTTCATATTTTTCTAATCAAAATTTTAACCCAAGCAGAATTAAGAAAAATGAATTTTGTTCATTATAGATCTCAAGGAGAAATCTGAATCGCTATTACAAAAATAAACAATCGAGACGAAGTACAACTCTCTAATGTAACACAAGTGATAACCAAAGAAAAAAACCTCCCACTGAATTACGTTCTTCTTTGAAACAGCTTTAAGATAAATTTCTGTTCAGTTTAGAAAACGTAACTAACTTCAGCAGCCAGACTTTGGCTGCTGAAGGGAGGGATCTTAGTCAAAAATGGTAACCCACACATTTACATCTAACAGCAATGAAACATGGATTCATCTATGACAGAATTTGCAATGTGCATATTTCCAAATTCAGACACCTCCTCTGAGCATGTTCCTGCAATTCACAATGCTTCCACCGTTAAAATGCACTGCTCTGCTTCCGTTCTCTGACTTGTCTGCATCTCATACCTCTCTATGCATGTGTACAGTATACAGCTTTGTTGATTTTGTTCTGTGAGCATGTGAAGTATGCCAAAATTCCCATAATCCTACACCCACCTGCCACTTAATGTAATCTGGGTCCAACAAAGGCGTTCACTGAACAGTAGGCCATATGCTGCTACAGTTTACAAGTGTTCACTGCAAAAATATTTTATTACTCTCTTAAAAGATGTACCTCATATAGTACTTTTTGCAAAGTATCGCTTTCAAAAATCAGAACTGAATCCTAAAATGAAAAACAGGAACTGAAGATTTTTTTTCCTGTCTGTGGAAGTCTCCTTGGTCCAAAGGTCTTAAGGGATCATGTGTCTCTCTGTGGCTTCAGGAAACAAACACCCCTTCTGCATTGCTCATCTTATATGTCCTTGTAGCTTATTTCTCTTTTCATTCTCTTCCCTCTATCAGCTTCTACATAATTTGCTTTATTGCTTCACATATGGCAAAGAGGATTATTTATTATTGTATAAGTACCAAAACCTACTGGGAAATAAGGAAATATAAAGAGTTCTAGGTCAGTTTCAGGTAAGGATCACTAGGTCACAAAGCACCTAAGATTTGACTCCTGGTCTCCATGATTCTTTCCTGTTATAGTGGATGCACAAGTCTCTTGCCTGTTTGTTGGCACTGTGTAGAAGCTTTTAGCCTTTAATCGTAACCAATTTAATTAATATCCAGGCTTACTGCAGAGGGCCTGACTCTCCCTAATCACTTCAGATCTTTGGCCATGCCACCACTCTGATCTGTGGCTTTTTGCTGACAGACATTGATTAAATGCATGTGATAGGAAATCAACACAACAATTGTAGGGTGATTAATCTACAATGCAGGGAACAGTATTCACATTTCAACTTCCTCGGATTTTCCCACAAACTTCAATGGACTTAATTTGGATTTTGTGAGGAAGCATATTAAGTCAAAACATTACATGAAGTAGAATGACAATAAAATTATTGGTGTGCATTTGTAGTCAGTTGCAGAGTGAACATTTTGCCCAAGGAGACTCAGAAGGAGCTCCAGAGATCCACAGCTCAGGTGGAAAAATCTGTTGCTAGGACAGCTGCTTGTGATACATCTCAAAACTACTTTTGTTGGTATTATAGAAGACCAACAAGAGGTCATTGCAAAAACAAATGACTTCTGATCTTTGCCACATGGAAAGCACATAAAATATGTGTTTGAAGCTAATCTGGTCAAGAGAAGCCAAAGTCAAACTTGTTTGTCTTCATGCAAAACACTGTATGGGTCAGAACACTATCATCCTGAATAAACCAATAAACCTCATGCTGAGGAATTTCCCTTTCAGGAGAAACAGGAAAGACTTGTTGGAAGGATAAATAGAGCTATTTGCAGGGCACTACTAGATGAAAAGTTGTTAGTAGTTAAAGGGGAGATCTATGCAACACGTTGACCTTAAGCATCCCGTCAAAACCGCAATGGAATGATTTAGAAAAAAGCTTATTTGTGTTAGATTGGCCCAGTCAAAGTCCAGACATAAATATGGTCAAGAATCAGTGTAAAAGTTCAGACTGACCTTAATCAATAATTCGAAAAAAGAATGAGCAAAGATGCCTTTATTGACTAAAAATTAGACTTCAATTGTAAAAAGTCTTAAACCATGTACATTTTCATTCACTTCAAAGTTATGCACAACTTTGTATCGGTGTATCGCATAAAAACTTTTTGGTTGTGATTCAGAGAGCTTTAATACTTTTCTAGGCATGGTAAGCCTACTGGAAGTGGATTTGTTTTGTAGCTTGGTGTTCAGAAAGTAGCTGTGACCTTGTAAAAGTTGCAATGGGGGAAAAAAGTGTTTTAAATACAATATTTAGAAGAAGGCCCTTTATAATAAGGTCATCAGAGTGAAATTTTCTTCAGTTGGCAATAAGATTTTGCTGTAATGAAAACACTAAATATAATTTTGGATGTCTTCAGTATTAATATCTGAGTATTTTAATTTCCAACCCAATAACATCTTACTTTGCTAGCACTGTATCCTTCTTGCCCTTCTGATTCTGAGCAAAGGCCTCAATCCATTCTTCTATAAAGAACAGAAAGTCCTTGTGGGGGTGGAGGGGTAACTTTGTGTTAAAACAATGCAAAACAATGATTAAAAATATCCTTCCTCTTAGCAGGCACAAATTAATATGCCACTGCATCCCTTCGGCCCAGCATCTGATACAAACCTCGCCATTTGCCCTTTACGGCACCTCCTCTGCACCTGCCCACCCCGCACCTTATCCTCTCCAAGCATCCCCTCCACCCCGAGCCATCCAACACCTTCTTCATTCCTCCAGAGCTAAACACCGGAATGCTCCATCGCTAGTTTCACCTTCACCAGAGCGCATCAATAACATGGCCACAGCGGCGCGGGCACGGCGCAGCGCGGCAGAGCACGGCACGGAGCGGCTTATGCCAGCCATTTCTGCCCCAGCACCAGCATCCGTCATTTTAGCAACACTGGCAGAGGGAATTAAGAGCTAGAACTTGTGATGAAGGATGTGAAGGGCACAGGGAAGCACCGGCTGCTGATGCAACTGCAGCCGGTGCTGTTTCATCCCTCAGTTGACTCTGCGTGATGGAAAGAATCTGATCATGGACATAAAGTCCTCTGGATGTCGACATCACTCCGGACGCGCTCTCCTAATTCCTCTCCCGGGCTGCTGGCCACAATGTCAGCTCTGCGAAACCGCATCAACGCTCTGCCACGCAAACGCACACGCACTCGCAAACTCCACCGTGCACACACTGTTTTACTTACTATTCCTTTATGAGCATCTTTGTGTTATTTCAGCGGTGCAGCGGAGCTTTATCCCAGACAGGCGCCGCTCCCAAACGGATCCAGAAACAGGGTCGGATTCCTCCCTCCGTTTATATAGTCGCCTTTATTTATCCGCTCGATTCTCTCCCACCTCTCTCCCCCCCTCTCTATGTCATTCTACCTCCACAGTCGCTTATTTTCTTCAGATTCACTTCCTGATCGGGGCCGCCGCGCGGCGTTGCTGCTGCTCTGCTGCTGCTGCGCGTCGTTCACCGAAAAAAAAAAAAAGGCGCTGCGTGAGGAAACGAGCGCACACTGAAAAGCACGGCTCACCCGGAGAATGATCTGCGGTGCACCCGCACGGCCCAGGGGTGACAAATGACACGGCTGCACAAATTACAGCACTGGAAATTTATTTTGACTGAATTGTTGTTGTTTTGTTGTTGTTGTTTGTTGTTGTTTTTTTCGGTTGAATAAAAAAGAAATATAGAATCAAACAAGGGAAGATAAACGAAAGGAAGAAGGAAAGAAAAGAATTAAAAGATTTGTAAATTGGAATGACTAAATTGTCTTGACTCTGAGACATTTCTTAATAAAAAAAATAAAAACGTAGCCTACTTGTTAATAAAACGCACGTTTTATTGAGAATGACAGCATAAATGCAAGACATCAAAATAACCTCTGTCCAGGCAGTGGCCACAGGAGCACCTTTTTTACTGAGAGTGTGCAGCTCACTGCGTCATCACGACAGCGGTGACGTAGAAGCGCGACTCAGCGTCAAAGGATGAAACGGGGAGCACCGCCGACAGGGACCAGACGCTCTCTAAGCCCTTTTTAAAAAGTCCTCGCTTCTGATGCGATTATCTCCCACCGCTGTGTCTCCTGACATCATTTCTGTTTTACAGACACCTTTATCTTGCATAAGTGGTAGGTAAGCTTTGCCACTGGGGTAGGCTATAGCTTTAATAAACATCCCAAAAATAATTATAAATGAGAGACAAAGACCGGACCATAATTATTTGGCCGTGCTTTGTTTCCCAACACAGGAGGTCTGTAGTACAGTAGGTACAAGGGATTCCAGGTCCCTAATCTCGACCCATTTCCTGAATATCACGGGATGTGGATGCTATGTGAGTTTAAAATTATGTAACAGCAAGCTGGAGCTATATTTATAGCTCATGTCTCCGTTTGACAACAAGCACATATCCGCTTCTGGCTCTTGTAGTTTATTTTAGAGATACATCTTCCAGTTTATCTTGTGGCGACATTATCTTGGTTTTATGGCTTTTGTCCAATGAGGTTTTTGTTATACAAAAGCCTTGTGAAAGTATTACTAATAGCTTCCATATTTTGTTTTACAACCACAAACCGGTTTATTTTATTGCAATTGTAAGTGAAACACAAAAACAAAGTAGCATATTATTGCACCGTGATTCTCAAATGTTTAAGTAATTTTTTAAAGACTTGCCACAAATTCTGGGTTGGATTCCGGTCTGAACTTTTGGTTGGCCATTCTGGCAAATAAACGATCAACCATCCTATTGGTTCTCCAGCTGTATTTGGGGTGATTAGCAGTGTTAGTCTTCCCACACTACCAGAATTTAGATCAAAAAGTTACAGCAGCTCCTCTATGGCGACCAAATAAAAAAATGAGTCAAACTCTTGGCTACTTTCTCTGAATGATTCCCTCTTTGTCCATCCATCACATTTGGATGACCATTGTACAGTACTCGATGACCAGATGTTCAAAGTTGTGGATATGGGTTTTTACTTTATTCTGACTGCTTGAAACACTCCTTAAATCTGTTATAGGACTTGGAAATGTATTCCTATTGTTAGCCATGTAATAGCGTCGTTATGCTAAATAATATCTACAGTAATGATGGTGAGGGAGATTTGAGAAGCCCCCAAAATATGATCAGTTCTGATTTGAGTCCTTTTACTCAGTTTGAGGAAAATTCCGAATCACATATTTTATGTGCAAAAAATAAAAACAAAACATGTGTGATAATAGCAGGCTTGGCAAAATATGCATTTTCTGTTACCAGTTTGTGGTCGAGCTGTTAATGAAGATAGCAGTTCAGTTTTAATTATAAGTTAAGTTCTACATCCTGTGTTTGGTCGTTTCATGAGAAGCAGAGCTGGAGCAGCCCCTCTGCCTCCAATGTGACTGATGATTTCACACATCTCGTCTCAGGTGGTGAGAGGTGCAAGCGTCAAGTGATAAAAATCTGCTAAAACGCGATATCAGGTGGCAGCTCAGCATGACGACAGACTTGCAAACACCAACCAACTAGATGTGAGAAAATAGTTTATGCTGATCACGCCTGAGCATGTTTCCTGAGTGCTGAGACATTTTGTTAACCCTATTAAAATAGCTTGGTGTTTTAAAGATTTTGATAATTTTCAGGGGCAAGGACTGATTATTTGTGCACAACTAGATTCTGACATTTAGTCCACATAGGGTATCTATTTTTTCATTTCTATTAAAAAATATTCTTCAACTACTAGTGTATCATAATTTCCAAAATTTTATGGTTTTGTTCCTCCTTGCTAAAAAAAGCACAACCAATTGCATACTGCCACCAGCGTGCAATCTTCTGAACACAGTTTCTGTTTGAGGTATTTTCAGGTTACATTTCAGCTTGTTTGAACACGTGTATTCCACCAAATATGCATCATATTCTTTTATATTTTACTTTTTAATGTTCATCTTTGCTATATTTTGATGGCACTCCACAGATACTCAAAGCGAAGATAAACCAAACACTGCCATCTCTTGGTTTGTGTTGGAACAACTTAAAAACAAGCAAAAACGTAATAATTAGAGCAATGCATTGCAAAAGGAAAAAAAAATCTTTATTAACCTCCACATATTCTTCCACATACAGACACCCATTTACCAAAATATCTATTTTATCTTCATTCAGGGCAGAAGGAACTCCAGGCAGACAAAACAGAACAAACCTACATAAAAGCAGCACTGCACAGTTAAAGTACACCAAAAATTGAAAGTGGAAATGCTAGGAAAAAATAAATACACATAAAATAGGACAAAGGAAAAGGGGGGATATGGGTCCGAAGCCAATCATCCAGAAAAAGTGCCACTGTGGGGCGGGTTTGTGTGGAAAAATGCAGAATTTCTCTTGAAAGAAAGAGATTGGAGGAAAAACTGACACAAACTATCATGTCAGCTTTATGGGGAAATGCATTAATTCACTATTATAATGCCCTCTGCAATGTAGAACACCTTCACTGTTATGTGTGAAAATTCAATCAGTTAATTTTCACTTTTCAATTAAAAATGTACTCTTTGTACATTTTGAAATGATTTTTTTTAAAAGTATAATTGTAGAAAAAACTGAAGCTGATACTTAAGGTAAAATAAATACTCTAAGCATACATTGAGAAAATTATTTGAAAACAGGCTGACTTCCTTTGAAAAAAAATGTGATAGCACTGCAGTAGAGTTTATCATTAGACATTAACCTTAAAAAAAGATAATGACTGTCTCTTCTGATTACCCGAGAAACATCAGCAAAATGTCTCCACTCTTACTCTACATTTCCTTTGTACAAACTCCTGGAATAAATCCAGCAGATGTACTGATAAGTAGCACCATGCAATAGCATCTGGATGATTTGCATTCAATATGTAACACATTGAAGAAACCCCATCACAATTGCATCACCCTCTAATTTTAAAGTGGTTAGATGGGAAGGTGACACTGAACGTATATCCCTTTTCCTCTCTTGCAGGGCGAGTTAAAGCAGAGGAAATGATGGAGAACACTCTGAAGGTCAGGAGAAAGAGGAAGTGAAGAGAGCTCAGAGGACTTGGGGGAATACAGATGGCTGTCTCTTTCCTTTCACAGTTTCTCCTCATAATTTGCTCTTCATCTCCCGTTTGTTTCACTTTTCTCCTCATCAGCTGTCCATCGGATTCATTTCTATGACAACAATCCCAGTAGTTTCTCAATTGGGGAATTTGTAAAGATGGGTGTTGCCTTTCTTACGGAGATGTGTCACAATTTTTTGTTCAACACTTCAGAATGCCTATTTTGCACATTGTTTTCTCTATCCGTCTCTGTTTAAACGAAGGCCTCTGGGATCTCAGAGCCGTTGATTTTGATGTATATTTTGGCGTCCTCGGCTTTCTGCTGTAGTTCTCGATGGAGTGTCCGTCTGTACCAGATCAGGTAGAGGGGCAGCAAGAAGCCCAGCAAGCTGAGCACAAGCAGTCCGATGTTAACCTGCAGGATGACACCGGAGTAAGCAAGGGTTTAATTTGGCTTAATAGCTGAATATGTTGAGGGGTGATGATTCCTACCCAGAATGGGTCTCCTTCAAGTGGTCCCATCATTGCCAAGAACAGGGGTTGTTGCAGCAAAGCAAAAACAGCACTGACGAGAGACTGCATCCCTGTTAAGCTGCCAAACTGAGAGGAAGGATATCTAAAAAGAAAACAGTTTAGTTAGTCACTTTGAAGCAGCTTTGACCAACATGGAAGTTTGATACGCATAATAATTAAAAATTATTTGGCAATTGAAATTAAAATACATGAGAGATTAAAATGATGTTGTACATACACAGCAGCATAAAGGCCCCCAACAGCAGAATGAATGAATCCTCTCACCACAGTGTGTAAGATGAAGGAGACAATCTGAGGAAAGAAGAAAAACAAAATCAGTGTATATTCATTTATGCATCTCATGTGAAGTTAATTCAGTTTCCCTTTAGCCAGATGATGTTTGTGTGCAATCAGATGCCTACATTTACTGTCGGCTTGATACAGTAAAGTCATTTTTGCATATGGACACAGATCTGGTGAGGACATAGAACAAAGGAATCAAAGAGACAATCACCTGTAATTGGAGATCTGGAATCAGACAGGTGATACCAAATCCCACCAAAAGCAGGTTTGTGAGGACGAATGCTCGCAAAGCGTTTGTCACTTTCTGGATCTTTCTGTCTCTGCGCTTTGTCTTGCTTTCACCTCTAAAATGTGAAAAAGAAAAGAAAGATGGATTACGAGGCAGGGATGCTATGACTTAATTTTATTGGAATCAAAAATAACAAAGTCTCTAAAATTATACTTTTTTTTTACAGATTCCATCTGTATAACGTGCAGATGTAATCAGAAATGTTAAAAAATTCACATAACCATTGGTTACACAAGCTTCTTATTGTAGTGTCCTAGAATTTTGGCTACTTGCACTGTCACCCAAGCTTTAAGTTTCTGGCTTCTACAGTAAAACACACCAACAGCACAATGTTTCCTGGGATGCAAACTCCCTGCCCCCTGTTTGGTACAAATTTAATGGTTTCACAGTTTCTCCCCAACTGTAGTCTGTTTATATGTTGCATTTAGAGCAATGGCTTTCCAGCGTCTGTTAAAACAAACTTGTTTCACTGTGGATAATGAAACCTCCTTTCTAGCTCTACAAGCAGAAAGAAACAAGGTTTTTATTTATTTTTTTTTTTCTGGAGTTGACACATTTTCCACCAAAAACTACTTTCTTTGGAACACAAAGCCTTTCAAGTCCATTGAGAAAATAAAGAACCACATAAAAATTGTTTATGCTCGTGCATAATTATTAGAACACATGAACATGACATATTCCAGTATCTAAGGGTGAAGTAGACTTGTGGCTATCATTCCCTGGATGATTTATGTAGATTTTTCCATTAAGTCCACTGAGGAAATAATGTGTTTGAAGACCTTTCTTCCAATAATAAAACAGTACAAGCTTAGAAAGATCTATGGCATCATCATCATCTGTGCTTTTCAAGATTGCTTAATGTTATTGACATTTCAGTGTGTCAAAAGATCAACAATAAGACTCACTTGCTTAAGAGTTCTTTGTCTTCTTCCCCATCATCACAGTCCTTCAGTTTCCAGTCCATAATTTGACCAATGACAGGAGTGGTCATCAGACAAAGCAGCTGCAGTACACCAAAGATGGAGGAGTACAGACTCACTGAGGACCAAATGAGGACAATATTTATTGTTGTTTATTGGAATATAATATAACACTGTTGAAAAAAGATTTTTTTTAAAATTGGTGTAATCCAGATGACAAGAGGTCATCATCTGGTTAGACGGTTAGTCATTGCAGTTAATAAACTGTGTGAGTCTGTTGCGTGCAACAAGGTTGTTCAAAAGTCAATATGTTGCTATTAGGGCACATATTTGTGGCTCTGGGAGCAGTGACTCTTGAAATGTGAGTCATGTGAAGCAGTGTATGTTTGATCTGCTGATTCTCCTAGAAAAGTTGTTAATGAATCAACTATTAATACCGATAACTATAGTTAAAAGCTGTGTGACAGTTGAAGGACTCAGTTATTGATAGGGACAACCAAGAAAACAAGTGTAGTATTCTACTTGTTGTCAGCTGGATATTTAATAAGCTAATGCTAAGGTAAACTACTGCTAGCGCAAAATGTTTTTGTCTTACCAACTTCCATCCTTCCCACTGAAAATGAAAAAGTTACATTGAGTTGTTTCTACGTCATGATACAAGTCAGCCGGGTGCTGTCTTTGAGTTAGTCTTTGCACACAGGCAGATGTGTCTCAGAAGCAAACAGACGGACCTGTGTCAAGGTTTCCATCACAGAGCACCTCCAAGACGCTGTTCATGGCCCCCATGTAGAACAAGAGACGGAGCTGAGTGATGCACATGGTCGATGCGCTAAGTAGAAAAATAGGGCTCATGATGCTCTTCAAAAAAGACTCAGCTGCAGAAAGCAAAAGCAAGAGATTTAGAACAGGGGTACGAACTTTAAACCTTCATCATTTCAGGAGTTTTATTTTGCACTGCACTCTTACATTCTTCCTCGGGCTTACAGTCCATTTCCAGGTCCATGGTGGATAGGCAGAGAGTGCGTCCATCCTTACCAACCACCTCCTTTTGTTTCACATTGTTGCTGACGCTCAGGCGGCGGCCCACTGTGGTCACTTGACGGTAGAACTGCTTTCCTGTGATCTTATGGTCAAAGCCAAGCCAGCTGAACTTTATTTTCACACTGAGAAAGCAGAGAAGCAAATATTTTATTACATCATTTTTGATCAAACTCTCTCAGTGGAAGTAGGATTTATGTTGGCAGTGTACTTGAGAGCATAAATATGCAACTGTCTTTGCTACTGACGTGTAGTCCATATCTTCTGGTCCTGGGAATGGCTCCAGTGGCCAGTTGAAGAAGCAATTGAGGAAGACAAGTCCAGCACAGGAAGCCCACACCACAAGAATGGTAATGAATGAGGCACCGAAATCATAGATGACCTGTCAACAATAAAGGAACATTTCAAACTGAAGTGGAGGTAACTTTTTTAACAACTTATTTCCCAAAAGATTCACAGAGCAAAGCCTTTAACGTGACCATTAACATGGCTTTGCACTGCCTTCTTTCTTCTTAGATCATATCTGATATGTATTTGACTGAGATTAGAACATTTCAAAAACCTTTTTGTCCTTTGAAGAGAGAATTTTACATTAAAAATTCCCAAAAAGTAAAAAAGAAAATACTTTTTTACTTTAAGATAGCATGGACAAGAAAAGTTTGTTCATAGCTTCAAAAAATATGTGCAATATGTTTTAGATTTTGATTGGACTCATTTGATGTTCTTTTATGAAAAAGGAATACTTTCCCATACCTTAACACCAGGGAATGTGACTGCAGACGAAGCATAAGAACCAATCATGAGGGCAATGAAGGTAGAACGAAGGTTTCCAAACATATTAGGGAGCTAAATGGTGAAGGAAACAGGAAAAACATCATAGATTAGTATATTCTGTCCATATGGTACCCTACACTAAAATAACAAAGATGCTAAAAGATATGTTAAATAAGGTCTGTTTCTTTGTGAATGTCAGCATAAAGGTTAAACAAGCATCGTAGTTATGTCAGCTGCATTTATTTGGAGATGAGGGAATCATATGGGGGCGCCATAAAGAGGGTGCCCAATGACGCTCAGGTCAGAGGGCACAGTAAGGAACAATCAGCAAGACTGCATGGTTCAAAATGAGGAGGTAAAAGCCCCCAAACTGACATGAAGCAAATCAAAGCATAACAGACACACACGAACACACAGCTGCCCATTACACCACACAAAACTCTTAGAGGATGGGATCGACACAGCTGGAACAGTCAGGGGGTTGAACCGGTCCTGAAACTAGAAACAAAGCACACAAGATGGACAGGGTAGAGAGTTCATTTTTTTTGTTTTGTTTTGTTTACACCCTCTGCTCCAACTGGAAGACAAGGATAACAGAGTTGGAGGACAAAACGGCATTCACAAACTGTTTTCAAGTGGCTGAACAACAACAAGCACATTCTTTGACATAAGTCTGGGGAGGGGATGTGCTATGTTGGGGAGCCAGTTTACTGTATTTCTCAGCAGTAGCATCATTCAGAGGTACTTGTAAAACTTAACCAATAGATATAATAGTCTTTAACACTGACAAAGAGTTAAACTGGTATTGCACAGTGTTTCCTAATAGTCACTATGGGATGTGCAGAGAAACTATACTCCAGAAGCCAGTGATGTAGCATGTGTTTAATGATTAACCCAACACTGACGCTTTCTTTTATAGCGTTTGGGGTTGTTAAGGAGAAAGGGTAAACATGTTTTTACCCTTTCAAGGGTAAAGACATGTCCTCATGCATACTATGGACAATCTATTATTCCCATGACTTCGGCTAGTGAGATATTTAAGACGTGCAAAAGACTTAACAGTAAAGATGAGCGATTTGTCTGTGTTGTTATTGAAGAATGTTGTTTCACGGAGATTTACTGGTGTAGAGCCATTGTCCGGTGAACAGCGTCACCATGGTAGCTGTTCACCGGACTGACTGAGTTATCAAAGGCTAAAAGTGATGGTGAGAGGAAGCAACAGAAGGACAAAAAAACACAGAGCAAAGAATGCAAATGAATAAAGAGGCGTCCACACAGTGATCCCTTAAATTAATGAAAATCGTGGGTTGTTTTTCTTTGCCTTTGTGTCCAAGGCTCCTCTCAGAATTAGTGAAAACCATTTAAAACATGTATCCCTTGTTTTGGTCCCAAATGTCATTATGTGAAGGCAGATATAGACAAATAAAGCTGGGTGAGCTATGATATTAGGCTATATTTTGGTAATGAAAACAGGTCTTGTACATTTCACTTTGTTTTATAGTGTCACATCTTGTCACTGTGTTACTACAACCATTAAAGTATTTTAATTTGAGATTTTATGTGATTGTAAAGCACAGAATAGTGAATAATTTTGAAGAGCTAAATAATACTTATTTTTCAAAATTTTCATAAAAGTGTGGCATATTGTCCCTTTTGGAAACCCAGTAAACAATTCTATCAGTGTTAATGAGGAAGTCTTATAGACACATACATTGCTCAAACAACAGGCAGCTGGTGCATCAGCTCTGTAGCAAGAAAAATGCAAAGCACACAAACCTGGCATGCCCACTTACTGTGAGGGAGGTGAAGGTCATGCACATGCCTCCGAAGCCATTGAAAGTGAGTGCAATGAAGATAAGAACGGAGAGCTCTAAAAATGACACATCATTAGACTGCTGACAATCACTACATGGCATGCAGATATGGAAAATGGACAGACTGGATCACATGGACTCACCATTTGGCTGGTAGGCTCCATAGGCAATGAGTAGGCAGGAAAAGCCAAAGCAAGTGCTGAAAATAGATTTCTCTGTCAAACATTTTCAATGACAAAAACTACTTCCCTGATTTTTTCATTTTGTTTTTACAAGAGTATAATATAATCTCAATTAACTCTTTGTGGCTGATTGCCCTTCTGAAAAGCAATAATTAATATCTTGTTTCTGTTTTTTTATTGAGCCAATATTGCTTTGCTCACCTGCCCAGCAGACGAAGTTTCCGAGGCCCATATTTATCCATGACGATCCCCAGTGGCAGTGTGATTGCTGACAGCAGGAAGGAGCCAACGGTGAAAGCAAGATTCAGCATCTCATCCTGTTCTTTGCAGATCAGCCAGCCGTTCATCCTCAGCTGACCCTCCGGTACGAGGTGCTTCATCTCCACCCCGTCCGATTCATCCGGTTCGAAGGCGTCAGAGTAGTCATGGGGTATCGGCGTCTCCGCAGAGTGAGACAGATTGTGACTGGAGCTGTTACCTGTAGAACATGATGAAATGATAGTCAGATGGATCTTCTATTTTTTCACCCTCTTTGTTAAAACATGGTAAATATGAGCTTTTTAAATCTACTTTCACTCATTATGTGAAATGTGAAGTCTGCACTTCCATTTCATCACAAGATCAAGACACGTCATTACACAGTCGTCACATGTGGAGTGAACTCATCCTCAGTTATCTGTGCGGTAAATATCAGTCTGAAAAATGAAACATGTCAGCAAAAAATCTGCACAGACAGAAGAAATTAAGCAGGAACACAGAGAAACATTTTGACTCAAATCTTGTCAGGCTGTCTGGGATTTTATTGAGACTTTATGAAGTGTGAGTGGAATAAAAGGTGATCAGCTGGCAGAGTCAATGATCTGAGAAAGGTTATCTGAACCTTCAGGTTATAATGTGAACAGGGACAAAGGTTCAGGAAGAGAGAAACATGAAACATTGCCTCTTTTGAGTCCACCAGCCAGTAACTGTGTGTCATTGCAAAGTGGAACTTCACATCGTGACACATTTCACAACAAGGCGCCAAAGCCTTCTTTGTTCATAATTTTCCAAATATCCTGAAAATGTGTTTTCTTTTATATAATGTTTCATGGTGCAAAGTGGAAAAATTGATCTAACTCAATATCAAAATTGAGGATTTGGTGTGCTGACATGTGAATAAATTTTGCGTTTAGTTTGTATGTATAACTATTGAAGAATGCAGTAAAATTAGCCTAAAATAAAAAAAATACCTGTTTGTGTAAAAAAATAAAGAAGAGATGTCCTGTGGCCACATGAACTCAATTAGACTACATGATTTTCTCCTATTCCATAACACATGGTCCCTCCGTGGCGCTACTTGCAGAAGGAAAACCAAACTTAAACCACACGACTATCTTGCACATCTGGATTTTATAGCTATCTCTTACACAGGTCATCTAATTTCTACGGCTCATCACTTTTCTATCAGCCTTTGTCCCCTCCCTGGTCTTTATCAGCACCCTTTAAACTTCCAAATTACCGTAATAAATGCTGCATGTGAAACTCTCTGTTCTTCATTTCAAAAGTCACATGGCTAAAAAGAGCTGAGATGTTCTTTTTTTCCTCTTTGGTCTTATGTCATCAAAATGTGGTAAAATTGTTGTGGCAGATCTCCAACAATCTTTTTTTTTTTTATTACAAAAACACATTTTAGTGTGCTTTTTTAGATTCCATGTAATAGACCAACACACATTTTCACATAATTGTAAGGTGGTATGTAAATGTTTTTTTCCCAAATTAAACTCTGAAAAGTGTGTCGCACATTTCTATTCAGCCCCTTTACATCGCCAATAAACTGTGATTATATATAACTCTGGAGGAGCTGCAGAATACTCAGGTGAGAAATTCCTGTTTGCCGTTTTCATCCAGCCCTTAAAAGGCACAGCAAACATGTGAGATGGTCTGATTAAATGACAACACAACTGAATTTCTTTTAGAAACACAATCTTTGGCAGAAAGCTAACATGACATTACACATAGTGATGGTGGCATCATGTTGTGAGGATACATTTTTCAGCAAGGCACACAATTTTTACATTTAAATCTAACGGGAATAAATATGGATTTTACTTTTTAATTTATCTGGAGATACATATTTCTTTTTCAACCATAATTTTTTGCCAACTTCATATAAAATAAATGACTTGGTCAAATCAGAGATTGTGCATAAATGTTATCTGTTCTTTAAAACACAAAGCACTAAGAATCATTCTATTAAAATGAGCAGTAAGACAAAAGAAGAAGAAAAGAACACTTTAGAAAAAGATTGCTTAATCTTTTTACGTTTTTCCTTTTTTTTTTTGAAAAAGGAGCAACAAAGAAGCAGTTCATGTGGTGTATTCTTGGTCAGTGTCTCTGTCCTCAACTATTGTAAGCTAACAGAGACAAGTACAGCACAGTAACATACTGTCTCAAGAAACCGTACTCTGTCCTTTTGTCCCTTCGGACCACTTTGTCTACCTGCATGCCTGAATGCTCTAACGTATCTGATCTGGTTAGACCCCCTTAGTCCAGCCTGGGACATCTTCACAGGTAACATTTTATTTTCAAAGACTGGAGAAGATGGGAAGGTATCAATGTTGCTTGACATCTCTTGAAAAAAAAATCTGTCACATCCTTTAATCAAAGTCAAAGCATTGCTTTCCCCCAACATTTAATTTGAAATGTATTTGAAATTTATTTTCAGAGTATTAAGAGAAAACTCATTAAACCTGAATGATTGCTCATATATGATGAAAAATGGTCAACGATGATAGAAGTGCAATCTAAACATTTAGACTCACCTTCCTCGTTGCAAAGGTAAGAGTAGAAGCCCTCAGACTTCAGCATGATGAGGAGGGAGCCCCATCCCAGCAGCACAGCAGAAAACAGCAGGTTCTCAATGATGGCGGTCACTGCCATCCACCAGCGCCTGGCGAAGGCTGTAGCAAGGGTCGGAGCCATGGCCAAGGGAGAGGGAGAGCTTGAGAAAGAGAAAGGACAGAAGAGGAAGAAGGCTAGAAGAGAGCAGAGAGAACCTCCCCGACTGACGGTCAGAATGAGGAGCGACGGGTTTCTTATCTGAAAAGAGAAGTACAGGAGGGAGGGGAAGTTTAAAAGTCAGCCAATTGGTGAAGTAAGTAAAACCCTGCAAGGGCTGGTTTATCAAATGAGACAACATTGTGCATCTAACTTTGCACCATTGGGAGATCACTGATTGTCTGAAAAAATTGTAAATGAGCCAGCATTGTAAGGAAGAAGCTATTTTGCACCCTCTATTCCTTTTTGATGGATTTAATATAAAAAGAACAAATTATTCTTATCAATTGTGGTGATTTATACACATGATTGCTTATAGTAGATAAAAAAATAGATAAAAGAACAATCAAATATTAGCACCACAGAGTTTCTTCAGGCAAGTAAACTGGTCTAGACTGGATTGAAGACTGGTCAACCGATGACCCTGCTGCACAGCCCCCTCCCCAAATGTCCTCTCATATTCACCCAACCGTCAAAAACATTTTTCTGCAATTACTTTAGTGCATTCCAAACAAATTAGACAACCTGCTTTGTTTTTTCACTCACACAAAACACACCCTCAAATGAGATGCAGAACCAGCACATTGAAAAAGGGAATGTCCACAGAAGTCACTACTTCCAAGAGTAATGAGTTTGCACACATTAATTACTTACATTTCTATTTATGTCAACTGATAACACATGTCCAAGTGTCATTCTATAATCCTTCTCTTTTTAGATGTTTATAAAAATATTTGAAAAAGATTCTCACCTCTCCAGGCTCCAGGTAGTGCTTCAAACCACCCAGCTCTCTGTATCTGTCTTGGCTCTCTGTGACCAGGTATCTGTGAAAAACAACATTTATATACTCCAGCCCTCTGCAAAGGGCGCCCCCTATTGAAGTTTGGCTGCGTACAGCTTGTGCTCTCGTCAGCTCCCACTTTCTGAGAAAGACTTGTGTTGAGGGCAATGGTGTGAAAACAAGGTTGTTAACCTATTTAGTAACCTAATGCACCTAGAATGATAATGTTATGCACCCCTAACAAAGGTCATGGGAAGATTTAGAAAAGCCCAGTTACTGTGGCATTTAAGTTTGATCTTATCAGTCATTGTAAAATGTGACGTTTGTAAGTGGAAGGGATTAATCACGCCAAACAGTGTCTGAGAAGTTAGAAGACAGCATATCTGCAGATGTCAACACTTCTGTGGCTCAGTCATAACGATTGATTGATCAGGAGAGCAGAACAAAGCCTTGACGCAGTCATTGCTTACGTGAGTGGTTCTTGGATGTTTACTGTGCTTTGTTTTCAAATTACAGTCAGCAAGCAGTGGCGTTTTTAACCCTCCCCAGGCAGATATTGCAGATTTGCAACAGCTAAGAGCTACTTAGCTAGTCTTTGCAAGTAATTTGAGCCTGAGAGGGTCAATAAGGATGCTGGCTTCATGTTTAGGGCAGTGGGGCACCATAGGTACTTCCAACAAGTTTACATGTCACTACAGCGGGCACAAATCTCTGGGAGAAAATATTCCTCGGTTGACCATGAGGCAAAAGTTGGCATCTGACTTCTCACTTGATGCTAATTTAAAGAGTCATTTCATCTTTTTCCGTTATGTTTTTATAAAATTAAAACCACCCTAGAAGACAATTATAAAAACAAGATGTATTTGAAATAAAAAATATAAAAATTAGACATTTGAAGGATAGGGTGCACCCTGCTCACGATGCCCACGTTTTAAAGATCAAAGATTCAGAAGCGGTTTTTGATAGTTTAATGTATTAATTTATGCAATAAACATATTCTTGGATGCTGAATATTAGGCCTGTTCATGTTGACCCATTTTGTGACTAAAAATATATAAAACAGTCATCAGTAATTCTTCATATACATCCATACAATAATATTCATGTCTAAAGATTTTAAAATTTAAATGAATTGCATGAAAATTGGAAGGGTTACAAATCCATGATGGTGAAAAGTTGTTTTTCAGTTTGGGTAGAGTTTGTCTTAACTTGCAGTGGACTCTGGATCTGATGTGATCAATATGCAAATCAATCACTGAGTGAACAACAGCTATCACAGGGACATAAACACTGATATGCTAATTTCTGCTGGAACACAGGTAAAACTGTTAGATTGAAAGGTAAAGAAACACTCCTCCATCACATCCTGTATTTGTGCTTCAGGAAATGATGATGGACAATCTGCTAGACTTGGGACTATAAGTGCCCATGAAAGGCTTAACAATTATTCAATCTTATCACAAAATCTTGCATACACAAATAGACCACGATTGGAATTAATCAACAGTGCATTACTTTTTTACTTCAAAGGGTTTATCCATCTCATTATATTTCTGGTTTATTAGGGAAGACACCAGAGGAGGAATTTAAGCACATATATAAAGGTTCTGAACTTTAAAAATAAAAAAATAAAAAAAAAATCAGTTTTAAAATTTCAAGGCACTAGTTTTTCCCACATTTCAGGCTCTGTGGGCTCCATGGAGACATAAAGCTTGTTATACAGATCTCCAAATTCAGATTTTATATATTTAGCCTCATTGTTTTGAATAATAAGATGTCTGGCATAAGGAAATCCATCTACAGGCCTGTTTGAAAATGTTTGGTGACCAACTAATGGACTTCTTGAGGAAAAACATAAAGTCTTCTAGCCATATTAAGATTAAGACACACTACAATCACATTTGGTTCTTTATAAATTTAGATGTTTTTGTCATAGAGCAAGCATGAATGAGTCATTTTTTTTTCTTATAAAGTTTTCTTTTAAAGTCTAAAGGCAAAAATCAACATTTTTTTCTGTTTATGTTGATGTAATTGAAAGGAAAATGTGTTTTGAATTTTTAAAGTAAAACCTTTATTTTGTGCTGAATTTCAACAGTAAAATTCAGCAAGTCCACCAGACTCACAAACAGTCGTTGTGTAACCAAAACATGAGCACTTTACCAAGGTTAAAATGTAATTTCAGTTAATAACTAAATTAGAAACAAAATGCACCTCATGAAAAACAACACATGGCTTGAATGAAGTTTGGTTTAAAACTACAGCACTAGTTTCTTGTTCCCCATTTAAACAAAACTTTCCATTTGTTTCCAGACTGAATGGATGCATGAATGATCACCACCTTGTGGTAGTAAGAGATGCTCACATGCAGAAGTCAAAAAAGAAAAACAAAAAAACACTGGTCTTTCTTTTTGTCAAAAACAAATCGAGAGTACAAAACAGCTTGAAGAAATAGATTTACCCATACATTCAAAACCAACTTAAAATATTTGGTTCAACATCTCTCTTTTTAAATAATGAATTGACAGTGCACAATTCAAAAATACCATCCCGTTATTGAAATAGGCATGACCATCCAGTGGTTGACATAACATACACAATACAATCTACTATGCATTATCTTACATAGTTTTGATTACATTAAGTAATCAAAAGAAAGGTGCATTATTGACCATAATTGTCAATCGTCTGTCCCTTATCTATAAATTCTTCTGACTAGTAGACCGAATCCAGATGCGAACAGCAGGGTCTTGAAACTGACTTTATGTTCTGGTGCTGTAGCTGTGAGGAACACAAGAAAGTTGGTTTTAAAGTTTGTTCTATGATAAGACAAGTTTAAAATAACTCCAGAAAAGCTTTTTTTTTTTAAAAAATATTCCTTTTTAATAAGTTCATGAACATATCTGCACGCATACCATCACTATCACAAGATTACCTAACCCAGATGATATAATGTTCCTTTGCTTAACGGTAATCAAACAGAATCAGTTTGTGAAAAACATTCCAATTGTTTCACATAATCACACTAAACTGCAACCTGCACCACTTTCCAACTGGTGCTGCACAGAGTTAAATGAGCAGTGAGCTTCTACCAGGTTGAATATAAATATTGACAGTAGCTAAAGAATACTATAGTGTTTAAATATACTCAAGTTTGTTTTATCTCACACTATATCGGAATGTAGTCAATAACTTTTAGAAAATATGGGCATAATCACATAAGTGTGTAAACTTTTCTTATTTCTTTGGGACAATCAGAAAAGCAACACTATTGTTCTGTCTTTGTTGTACTGCAGCCTCGTTCCCTTTTCTCCCATGGGAGACAAACAAATAATCTTATATGTCCAAAACAAATAAAGCTATCATTAGGCCTTATATTGCTCTCACCTTTGTTAAATTTAGATTTCAAAAGAAAATGTATGCAATAAGTAGTTTAAGATAACAAATGGAATAGACAGAAATTAAAACAAAATGTTGGAAGGCTTCCTTTTGATTACCCTAATCTTTGATTTCCCTTCTAGAAAGGAAATAAGCGTTTTTTGTTTTTTTCATAAACTCCTTTATTCAACAGTTATTAGCGCTCCCTTTCTGTCTAATTTTTACTTGGTGTTAGTAGGATGTGATCTTAAAATGTATTTCAATGTGATTAAATTTTGTACTGTACGTAGAGGCACATTCCTCCCAGCAGTGAAAGGAAAAAAAGGGAAATATGTCATTCAAATGACCCAACTGTGTTTTGAATTTCCCAACTTAGGGGATGGCCACAAGATAGTAGCTATTTCCCCACAATTTTTTTTCATATCTGCTTCAATAATAAATTAAAATGTTGGCAAACAAGTCAAGTAGAAGGCCTACGTTTGAACTGATTCAAGAACAGGAAAATAGTTCAACAAACATAAAATGAACCTTTCTCTGTCTGCTTCAGTTCCTAGACCTAAATCTGAACTAAAATGTGCTGTTTGTTCTGAAGAGAAAAGTGTAGAAAAAATACTTAAACAATTATACAACGATCCCTCTCTGAATGTACTCCAACTACCCAATATTATGATATACAATTCAGTACTTTCCTATTTATAAAAGAGCGTGGCACTGGCACCGTAATCCGACCCAAATCTCTCAAAAAGATTTTTCCGAACATTTTTAAGTGTTAAATTGTGACGCTGCATAAAGAAAACCCACATTTTTAAGTTTTTATTTTTATTTTTACTAGTGATCCCTCATGCCTTAACTAGAGGGTGAGGCAGTTGATTATTTACTCAGAGTAAACTTTTTAAACTCCTTCTACAAAGTAGGACAGCACTTGCACTGAGATTCATTTTCTACTCTTGTGCACATTATTGAATGAATAAAAAATCCTTCTATAATTTGCTCACCTGGCAAGTGCCTTTCTGTAGCTGTAAAGACACAAACAAAGCAAATGTAGGAGGAACAGTTTGACAACTTGAATATGTGTATGTTAATAAGCGGCACAAACAGAATGCCTTAGATACACACCTTTTATTGTATAAGTGGTCTCCATGCCTCCGTGGATGTGGTCAAACACATGACAGTGGAGCAGCCATGTCCCTGGGTTTTCCGCCACCATCTCAACAGTCTGGAACGTTCCAGGGAACAAATCGAAAACATCTGCACGATGCACATGCTCCGTCTAACACACACACAATTGACCATAAGGTACCACAAAGGGAACAAAGAAGAGGAAATATGCAAAGTAACACAACTGAGGAACTGTGAGTGTCCTGGAACAAACCCTGTAGATGAAGGTTTCGGCATGAAAGTGAACTGTGTGCATGTCTACTTCATTGCCCATGCCAAGTAGATACCAGTCGACTTTCTCATTCTCCTTCATCACCAGACCATGGAGGTTACCATACAGTCTGCCATTAATTCCTGTAACACACACATTTATAAATCACACAACCAGCTGTGATGGGAAACCGTCTGAACATGAAATTCAACCTTCTTACCATAACACTAACCTGTTTTGACTATAAATGATGTAAGCTGGAAAATTGCTGTTTTCTACTTTGTTGCACCATTTTTTTATAGACTTGTACTTGAGCAAGACTTTTTTTTAATCTTAGGATTTTACCAAATTTCTCAAGCTGTTTGTTTCAGAATGTACAATTTAGTTTGACTGGATGACCATTCTGGACCGCTGGAAATGTAAACACTTTTGCTGTTGTGCAGAATGTGGTTTTGGCAATGTCTTGACCAAATAGGTCAGTTGCTTCAAAGCATTTCACATAAATCTCTTAAACGGTCCAAAAATACATGGTCATTTTTTTAAACGGATGACAAAGATGGTCATGATGTCCAGACAGGATATGATTCATAAGTCCACAGGGAAATGTTTTCAGTCCATGTTTCATAAGTGTTTTATAAGTAAGTCTAACTGAGACAGTGTCCCCAAATGTTATACTCAAAGTATGTCTCATCCACATGGTATTTCCACTTGTTTATTTCCACTCTGTTTTATAAACTGAAGTTTAAAAATCATTTAATTAAAAAGTAAAAGTTTCCACACCTCCCTCTTTTGTTCGTACCGTGCATCAAGTTGCTCTCCTCAAAGTCTTCATCTTTCTTAAATGTTCCAGGATCAACGCCAAGGTATGTCTTAATGTTGTCATCCAAATACCAGGACTGGTTTTCATCATACACCAAAAACAGCAGCGCGAACTCCCTGTCTATATCTCGCCTTTGTCTGTCGCCCAACTTGCCATGGTGCAGAGTTTCAGGCCTGCATATCACCAGGGGCCCAAGAAGACCACTAAAGAGATCCTGAGCATGAACACATGAGTGCTTTAGCTACTATTTATACATAAAAATTACACTGCAAATTATTACAAGTTCATGTTTCTGTAAGAAGGAGGGATGTACCTTGATGTAGTCAACTGATGAGAAGTAAGCATAAGTAATGCAGTTAGGATCTGAATTTGTTGGGCCAGAGCTTTCAGGAATATCCCAAGTCAACTCAAGAATGTGGCCTGAAGGAAAGATAGAGTATATAAACTCCATAAAGTTATTTCAGAGAAAGCAGCTCCTGTTATACAGATTTGTTTTCCTTATTCTCACCAGGTTGAACAGCAATGTGTGAACCACTGGCCTTGACTCCGTGTGGTGTGATGGAGTAAGGCCGACTGGCTTTGTTTTTGAATATAATCAGAATCTGCTCTCCCACCTCTCCGTGGATTATCGGACCTGTAAATGGAAGAAAGATATTCTCTGCCATTCTCTGTGTTTATTTAGCAATGCTGATGTAAGGAGATGCCAATCTCACCCAAGATGCCCAAGTGTTCCTGCCGGGGCTTCTGATTTTTGAAGGTTTCATCTGTGTATTCACGATACACTACCTTCTTATACTGGGAGCCAATCTTGTTCTCCCCTTTACCCACAAATATATTGCCTGGACTGGGAGACATGTACCAATTAGCTTCCATCAACAAACAGTAATAAGTTTCACCACTAATTACAGGGTCCAAGTGCAACACATAGACACATCATCCCACAGTAATGCTGCCTTACTCACTCACCTCTTCTCTGGATCTGTTTTGTGTTTCTCCAGCTCCCAGTCTCTTGTGGGTGAGTAGTCCCATTCAATTTCCTCTGCACTGATATAATACTTCACAATTCTGGTAGGGGCTGAGTGTGAGGCATGAATTGTTTTGCCCTTGCAAGGTTTGACTTTGTAAAGGTGCCTCATGCCAGCTGAGAAGTGATCTGTTGTTCTGCAGTCCACCTCAAACAAACCTGAGAGAGTCAATGAACAAAACAAATTATTTCATTAAATTTTATTATTGTGATTCTTAGTAAATTTCCTGTTGGAACAAAAACGATTGTCTTCAGCTGTTTGAATGTTTTGTGTGGGAGGGGAACACACCCGTCTTTCTGTTTTAAATTACATTTGTCCCATTGCTCCAACTTATCACTTAAATCTTACTTTTGAGATTTCCTGAAAATTCTCCCATCAGTAATTTTGAGGAACTAATGTTTTCCTAAAATTTAAGCATTAACACAATGGGAAATGTCATGATACAAATTGAGAAGACCCTTGTTGAGGCCCAGGTATAAATAATAAACTTTATAGAAGACTTTTTAAATTAATAATCAGATGTATTGGATTAATTGATCAGCAATTTCCCTCAGTAAAATCCAGTATTTTTGGCAACTTCCTAGTACAGAGCAATCTCAAGTGTGTTCCAAAAAAGTCTTAATTAGTTCTTTGCTATTATTTGTTTGCCTGTGACATTAACAATATTGTGGAAGGTCCAAAAGGCCATTGGGTTTTGGTGTCCAAACAATATCCTCCCTTAGATCACATTTTACAACAGTTATAGAAAATTAATGCATGACTAACCGTGATTATTTGGCTGCATGGAGAGAGCTGCAGTAGTGTGGGGAAACAGGTTGACTGTATCACGTGTAGTGCTCTGTTTCTTGAAGGTATTTCCCTCAAAATACACTCCGTGTATGTCTGCCTCTGTACCAAGCCCAAAGGTGTACCACATAACATTGTCCTCGGCACACATTTCCAGCCCCGGAAGGTTCCCGTACATGAGTCCATTTACAGCTGAAAGAGAAAGGGACAAAATAATGATCAAAGTACAAGCTGGATCTCTATTATCTCTGTTCATAAAAGACTCATTAAGAGAAAACTGCGCAACCTTTTTCAAACAAACTGATTACCATGCATTTTGTTGCTCTCCACAAAGTTCTCGTCTTCTACATCTGTCTCAGCACTGCCGAAAAGCTTGATGTTTTCATCCAAATACCAGCTCAAGTTTTCATCCATGACAGAGAAAAGGAGGAAAAACTCCTTGTCAACCCCCTTCTGTTGAACAATGAACACTTACAATTCAGGAAACATAGGGATGTTTGGTATGGCTTTGGAACATTTGCAACTATAATTAGAGGATACATAACACAGTAGGTAATTGTCTTATTCTGGGAAAAGTGTGTGTACAAAGAGATTATAAACCCCCTACCTGGATTCCATTCTTCCCCAGCGCTCCTCGTTTACACACAAGTAGCGGTCCAACTAATCCAGAGTTGGTATCCCTGACAGGATCCGTGGCGGAGTAGTACATGTAGGGAATACAGGGAGAATCGGATGACGACGGGCCTTCCAGCACCCGCCAAGTGTAGACAAATTCCTTACCCGGGTCAACATGTGACCCTGGATTGTCAGAACCTGAAACATTACAGACAAAGCAATGAAAGTTCAATTAATACACCTTCACAGTCTTATTAAATTTTGTGTTCACTCAAATATAGTTTACTTTTTTTTTTATTACTGTTACTATTTTCTTTTATTATCATCTGAATTCCTTGAGTCAATATTATTTTTAATTTTTCTCTCTCTGTAATTTGGAGCAAATTAGCAAAACGGTGTGAAAATAAAAAGCTTAACTTTAAAAAAGTGGGGATATTTTTGACAAAGGCACAACAAATGTTTTTCATTTAATTTAATAATAAAGGCTGAAAGAGAATCTTCCGGAAACAGTTCATTTTTAGCCTCTTAAGTTTGCAGTTAGCAGGATTGTCACCAACTGCTTCCTCACCATCTTCATAGCTGGTTCCCTGAAAATGTTTCTCATAGTGAAGTCCATGAGGGTGAATGCTGTAGCTTTTATTAGCCTTGTTCTGGAATGTCACTCTTAGAATATCTCCCTCTTCTGCCCTCAGAACAGGACCTGGTCAAAGGTTTGAAAAAGGAAATTAACAGCGGGCTGCTTTGAGAAGACAGAAGAAATGCAACACGAGCAACTTTAACATGAAACAATACATTTGGAGAAAATGGCAGAGATGAAAACAAGTACCCAAGAGTCCATGATCGGAGGGTGATGCTTTGACATGGGTGAAGGTATTGTCTGTGTACTCTTTGTATATTACTTTTACATAGGTACCTCCAATTGTTCCGTTATCTCGGCTAAAAAACACCTCTGATGCACTAAAAAGGAAAGGACAACAGAAAACAACCAGAGCAATAGATCTATTATTCTATTAGTGACAGACGCGGAAAACTTGATTCAACAAAACATGATCAGCTAAGAACAAATCAGAGCCCAGATGCAGACAAACAATGTTTTCTATATGATGTCAGTTTTTGTAGAAAGACATAAAGCCAGAACAAGTAAAGCATAACTATTAAATGCAGTAACAAGGATTACATTCCCAACAAACTTAGTATAAAAATGAGAAAACTTCATAACAGACATTTCTTACTTTTACTACCTCTAGTGGCAGTTTTTAAATGAAATATTACCAGGTGAAAAAGCATTCAAACTTTCTTACAACTGCTAGGCAGCTTCTTTTTTTTTCTTTCTGTGTTTGTATTTCTATGCTTAGCCAAAATCTCTCAGTTCACTGATTTTTTCTGTTAGTTCTGCTAGAATACTTAAGCTAAGAATAGCTTCACTTAATTATTCTTGCTCTTCCTATTAAACTAGTTTTTCTCTCATGTAATGTTTATTTCTCCTTTGGCTCCTGTTTACTTATAGAGCTATTTAAACAGTTATTCTCATTTCAAATAACATTCCTGCTGTTATTTGAAATGAGAATCCTCTGTTGTTTTCACTGTCACTTCTTGTACATAGCCTGTAGGTTTTATAATGCTCAAATACACATGCAGATGTTGTACATTTTAAAAATGATGCTACTAAGTTGGAAGTGCCTTTGAGTCGGAGCACACCATTTTGAATAATGACTTATTAAGATCATTTTGTGAATCTTGATGATTTAATTGCCTGTCTCTTTGCTACTGTTACTCCAGAATTTCCCTACTGCGGGATAATAAAAGATACTTCTATTCTATTCTGGTCCTGTCTGGTCTGGTCTGGTCAGGTCTGGTTTGGTCTAGTCAGGTCTGGTTTGTTCAGGTCTGGTCTGGTCTGGTCTGGTCTGGACTGGTCATGTCTGGTCAGGTCTGGTCTGGTCTGGTTTGGTCTAGTCTGGTCTGGTTTGGTCTGGTCTGGTCTGGTCTGGTCTGGTCTGGTCTGGTCTGGTCTGGTCTGGTTTGGTCTGGTCTGGTCTGGTCTGGTCTGGTCTGGTCAGGTCATGTCTTGTCTGGTCTAGTCTGGTCTGGTCTGGTCTGGTCAGGTCTGGTTTGGTCTAGTCAGGTCTAGTCAGGTCTGGTCTGGTCTGGTCTGGTCTGGTCTGGTCTGGTTTGGTCTAGTCAGGTCTGGTCTGGTCAGGTCTGGTTTGGTCAGGTCTGGTCAGGTCTGGTCAGGTCAGGTCTGGTCTGGTCTGGTCTGGTCTGGTCTGGTCTGGTCTGGTCTGGTTATGTCTGGTCAGGTCTGGTCTGGTCTGGTCAGGTCTGGTCAGGTCTGGTCTGGTCTGGTCAGGTCAGGTCTGGTCTGGTCTGGTCAGGTCAGGTCAGGTCTGGTCTGGTCTGGTCTGGTCTGGTCTGGTCAGGTCAGGTCAGGTCAGGTCTGGTCTGGTCTAGTCTGGTCAGCTCTAGTCTATTCTTCCCACTGCCTGCCTGGGTTAGAGTAAACTGGTAACCTCTTCACTCCCCCAGATGATGTTGTAGAAATGTTTCCTTTCCTATCTCTTCCTAAGAACATCCAGTTAAAGTCTCTGTTTCCCTTTAGGGGCCTGGCCAAGATTTTCATTCTTACTCCTGTATCTCTCACAGTGTCCTCTGCTCCTTTCATGCCAGAGTTAACAGCAGTATCCCCACCCGCAGTAGAAGTTCCTCAATTCATATCCTGGGGATGTTTGGATTACTTTGGTGTTTCTTTTTTTGGTTGTTGTGACTCAATGACAAGTCTTGTCATACAATTGCAAAGTTACCTATCAATCTATTCTTTTTGTAGTGTAAAATGCTTTAAGGTGTTAACATGATAAGATGTGAGCCATTTAAATTCAGACCTTTTATTATTTATTGGAATTCATCTGGGACTCTGTCTCAATCACTTTAAAACTCATACATTATTAAACTGAAAGTCCACATTTTCAGAGCACAAACCTCACCAATCGGCCTTGATTCTGGATTACTCAAAACATTACACTATGCCTCACATGAGGCAATGCTAAGCATGATTACTCACCTGCCCTTTTCAGTAAGCGATGTGTTTTTAATCAAATTCTTTTCTGAGGGAGCATAGTTCCACTGGACTTCCTCTGCTGCCAGGTAGAAATTTCTGACAACACCAGGTATTGTTGTGCTGCCAGACGAAGAGTCACATGACATCACTTCGTAAAAGGCCTGCATGCCAGCTGAAAAAAAAAATTGATTATGCAAAAACCATCATTGATTATGGAAAGATTATATTCTTTCCAGTTTTAGATGATGAGTTGTATAGTTCTCCGTGAGATAGTTTACACTTGTAATACAGTTTTATGAGAAAACCAATGTCTCAATTGGTTTATCTTTGACATGTTTGCTTTGTTCTTTAGTTTTCATAATTCTGTTTATTCACTACAAACAAACCTCAGAGTCCTTCACAGATATTCAAACTGAGATCAACTTCATTGTTTTTTTTTTACTACTTCCTTAAGTCATTTGGTTGTTCTGGCTTTTATTTAGGAGTAACAGAGTATGTCTATTATTATTTACTGGGAAGAATGAACTGATAATGGAGGTTTCTGAGCAAGTGTTATACTTATGGAACTGACAATAGAGGTTTCAGTGAAGATGTTTTTCCTTCTGTTTCCAACTGAAACTAGTTTGAACCAGGTTTGATTTAGGGACAGAGATACCAATTAACCAGAGATGGGAGAAACTGAGAGAAACCCTCTACAGGAGAGAGATGGGTGGAAGGCAGTGTGTATGTGACTGATAAGATATAAAAGGACAATTGTGTTAAGTGTCACTTCTTCTTCCTTCTTCTCTGTTGCTTTTCTTTTCTCACTCGCTGATACTTACTCTGATTTTCTAAATAAAATATCTAAAGACAAATGTCCATTTCTCTGACTGATTCAGTGTATCGCTCTCTCAAATGAAATTTTCTTTTCCTAAACAGTCACATAAAAATGTGAAAAACATATTTGTTGTATTTTGAGAGAGTGCAATTCTTTGAGGCAGATGTTTGCTGGACTTTGAACACCAATAAAACACATCGTGGCCCGATTTGAACAGAAACACACCCCTCTGCTATGTGAAAGCTGGTAACAAAAAACAGCAGCACCCCACAGACACACATTCTCCCATGTCAGCAACTCTTTGCAGCCAGTTAGAGGGGGCAGAGGTGAAAAAAGGTTAAAGGCCAAGTTGTAGTACCTTGTAAGTGGTCATTAACCTGGCAGCTCAGCAGCCACTTTCCTCTCATTTTTGGGACCATTGTAGCAGTAGCAAACGTGGCTGGAAACAGGCTGATGGTGTCAGTGCGGTGGCCTCGGTCCAGCAGAGTGTTTCCATGGAAAAAAGCACTGTGGATATCCACTTCGTTACCCATCCCAAATAAATGCCAGGCTACAGGCCGGTGCTGGCAGAGCTTAATACCAGGCAGATTGCCAAATGTGTACCCGTTTATAGCTGTAGTACAAAAGAAAACATAATTAAATGAGAAGCTAATAGAAAAACTAGTGTATTTACAGAATTTAGTATTATCACCATTAACTTTTCAACAGAAGTAAAGAAGAAAAGGATAACAATCGAAAACTAATTTACCAGTAAAAAGTATTCTGTTGATAATGTTTGCAGTTGTTTTAAATGAACTTTTAAAAGAGGAAAAGTTCTCACCATGCATCAAGTTTGACTCTTCAAACTCTGGATCGTCTAAAGAGACCTTATCTGGTTCCAAGCATCTCTCAATGTTGTCTTCCAGGTACCAGCTCAGGTTTTCATCCATCACACTGAACAACAAATAGATGTCCTGATCGACATCCTTGCGGGCCGACTCTGAAACGTGTCTTCCAGGATTCTTCAGAATTCCTTAGAGAACAAATAAGAGATGCTTCTTTTATGTCTTTTCAGACATTTTTATTTAATTGGATAACTTCTAGAATTATTTTTAAAATGAATGCTGGGTTCAGCTGATTAAAGACATATATAGTGCAGATAAGAACAATGCAGTTCTTCTATATTATATACACACTGAAACTCTCCAAAGAAGCTGACAGTGTTTTATATACTTTTTTGTACCTTTCTTGCATGTGATGAGAGGTCCAATGAGGCCTGAAGCAATATCCTTTGGAGTATCAATATGGGAGTGATAGACCCAAGTCAGGCAGTTGGCGTCATCGTTTGTGGGGGCAAACCTCGGTCTTACCTCCCAGCGGTAAGTGTAGTTGCCCCCTGGAGGGACAGAGTCATCCTCCTTCAAATCACTGTGTGTCTTGTCTGGATAAAGAGCTCCTGATAAAACAAAGTCCATAATTAGTGCTTTCATTATTCATGTTCAGATCAATTTTACAGAAGAGGTGTAATATGTTTTCACTTTGTCATATTTACCACATTATTCAATTATTTTAGGTTCTCTTGAGTTTCTTTACGTGATTTTGTGGCTTTTGAAGTTAAAATCAAGAACTTAATGAAAAAGCAACTTTCTTTTCCTGAGCATTCCATCTTTTGAGCACAATATTTTTAAGTGCATGTAATATGCTTAAAGTGTTAATTTACAACAAATTCCACAAATCCAGTTTATGCAGAAGTATATAGTAATCTCAGTTTGAACTACAGAAGGATTAAAAGATGATTAAGTACATTCAAACTTGATTCCAGCAGGTCAACAAGGCAGAAAAGTTTGCAACCAACTGCCTCAGTTAACTAACTTCACTTCTCCTGATCAAGCACAATCCAATAATGGAAAGATGACGTTCGTATCTTTCCAGCAGTTCCTCATACTGAAGATGAATGTGGCAAAAGTGGAAAGAACTTTCTTTCAATGTGAAGAAACTTCCTTCTATCGTCTGCCTGTGCATTTTAGGTAATTTTAGTACTGTTTTGTAGTTTATACCATGAATGTAACTGTTTATTCTATATTTCCCATTCAAAAAGCTAAATCATGTTGTGCATCTGAATTTGGTGAACCTTAAACCAAAAGCCTTTTCCTCACATGACAGTGGTTAATGACTAAATGTATTAGTTCTATGTGTCTGATGACAGCCTTTATTCTTCCTCTTTCAAGCACATCATCTTTTATTTCTGAGCAGTTTCAGTTTGTATATCTGTGGAAATTTAACAGAAAAGCTACATGAAGATAAAAACATAAGTAAGTGGTTTGTGTTTCAACTGTGATTAAAAAAATCTTCCCCAGGATGGGGAGTGATTAAAAGGGGAGGTGGAGAGCAGGAAATGCTCAACAGAAACTAAAGCCTCTCAAGGCTATCAGAGTAATCTTACTCTTGTGAAATGTAGCAGTAGGACAGAGCACTGAACACATTCCACTAGTGTCCGTGACGGTCAGGGAGTAATGGAGCCAAAAACAGGCCTTCCCACTCATTTGATATCGGAGAACTAACTGAGCAGAGATACTTTCACTTTCTAATAGAAAATCACTATAATGCTTATATGTACTGTATATAATCAATTATAGTTGACATAATTAGTGTAAATTAATGCTTTTTGGGTCCACATTTTCAGACATAGCGAACCAACACATGTTCTCCAACTGTGAGTTTGCTCATTGTATAATACTTTACCTTCTGTGTTCTTCTCGTAGAAAAGTCCATGAGGGTGAATGGAGTAGCTCCTGTTAGCAAAGTTTTTTAGGTGAATTATGATGACATCATCAACCTCAGCTCGCAATATGGGTCCTAGAAAACCAAGCCAATCTGGCCTGGCCGCCAGGTGGCTGTAGGTGGCGTCTGTGTACTCTCTGTACATTGCTTTCTTGTAGGTACTGCCAATGCGGTATTTCCCTCTTTCCAGGAAAATAGATGCATGTCTGAAATAGAAAGAGAAGGAAGTAGTTACATATAAAGTAGAGGAACTATACAAAAGAGATAAATCTCAATCCATAAGGCCATCTTCAACACATGTATTTGTTCTGTATGGTGAGCAAACTAATTCTATTGTGTTGTACATAGTGAAATTTTAGCTAAAAAGAATTGTAGGTCTGAGATCTTATAGAAGCTGATTTTGGCTAATTATGCAGCATAGTTTATAACTGGCCAGATCCTCTACAATTTGAGATGTTTCTTGTTATGATTACATGTTTTTCAAAGATAATAAGCTGTTTCTGAAGCTGTGACAAATGCAGTTTTGCTACTATGTATCCACCTCAAAACTACAGCAATCAGAAAAGAAGAACAATGCATACTTGTAACTTCTATTTTGATCTTTCTGGCTGATTGTGCAATTACAAAAAAAAAAAAAACATTATTTCTGTGTGGTGGCAAGGTGTTTTATTTTTTTCTGTTTTCTATGGCAATATTCAGGTGAAGTATTAATTAAATGTTTGGCTTTTTATGGAAAAAGTATTTACTGTGATCAATGTTTTTTTTTTGTTTGTTTCTTTGTTTTTTACAAGAAATAAGTAACTGAAAGAGAGAACATAAGAACAACATATTCTTTTTTACAAGTCCTGCATATTAAAAGGCTCTTTGTTGCTTTCGAGTACATAACAACCCATTCCTTCACTTTCATTTATTGTTTACTTTAAGAAATTGATGTTGAAATATCCCATATGAAATAAATCATACAAGAATCATTAAAATACAGACTGCCTAACAACATGAAGCAGTGTTGTCAGTATGGGTCATGTTGAAGCAGTTTCTTGTTGCTTTTTTTGTCTCAAAAAGCAGCAAGAAATTCAAGAAGCAAACAAAATTCTAAAAGTAATGAAAAACAGTGACACAAATTAATAGTAGTGGCTAACTTACTCCAAGAGCACCGCAATGATTCATCCAGGGAGTCACAAAAGAATGTGACAATAATGTCTGAGGCACTGCAGGCCTGACCTTTCTCCGTTAAGGTCATGTTTGGTAATCATACAACAGAAAAATTATCCATATGAGAGATCTAAGGTAGAAACAACTGTGAGATCCATCGAATATTTGCCACTGGACATCTTGATGTTCCTTAAGCATTTTTGGTATATGAACAGATGAAACAAAGATCTAACTTTTTGGAAGGTGTCTGTCCTATTACCTTTGACATAAAACTGACATAATATTTCAGAAGGAGAACATCATGCTGAAACATGGTGGTAGTAGTGTGATGGTCTGATTGAGACCCTGTGGAATGACCATAAACAAGCCACCAGTGGTCAAAAATCCTTGATGCTGCCACCATTAGATTTGGAGGGTAATTCATTGTTTTCACACTGTACCATGTGTCTGGTTTAGTTTAAAATCATAATGTGAGATTTTGAAATAGGTTTGTATTGACTCAACTAAAGTTCAACTGAAAGAAAATTGTCTTTTATGTTCTGAAACAAAAATAAAATAAAATTGAGAGGCATCAAATACGTTTTCACCTCACTCTATAAATAGCTTCACAGTAACTTAAATAACTTATAGACCTCATCTTTGAGGTCTGTGACTGGTGTGAAAACACGCAGTGGGTGCATTGATGCATCAGAAGAGAAGCGCGTTTTCTCAGTTAACATTTTGCGCATCAGTCAGACTTCCGCACAACAGTCTGGTCAGAGGTCTAAACTTTGTCACACCTTGTTAACGTGCTCTAATAACGGGAAATAAAATAATATTTTTCATTTATAAATAGTAAATTCTTTCTCCATTCATTTTCATTTTCTTCTAGTCTCCACTATTAAACGTATTGTATACCAACCCACCTCATGTGGGTTGGTCACAGAACGTGATAGATCAAATGAATGATAATGGAAGCATAAAAATGCCTTTCCAACAAGCCTGAATAAAGTCATAAAAACTTACTCGTCATCTTCGATGTTTTGGCCGTTCAGTAGATTTTTCTCACTCGGTGCGTAAGACCAGTCGTCCTCTATGATTCCGATAAAGTAAACTCTCTCCCTGCTGTATGCCCCTTCCGCGCCAAACGAGAGAACAAACAAGAAATTACTTAGCAAGAGCCAGGGTCTCCGAGCCATGTTAGGAGGTGACCTCTGTGCGCTGACGAGAAGGAAGCTCAGAGGAACAAGTGAAACCTCGGCAGAGAGACTGAAGTGCGTCCAGGGTGCAGCACTTACGAAACTCTGCAAATGAAAACAGTTAGTCCATTCAGCCGGAGAGCACCGGTGATATGACCGCCTCCTGTGGTACCAGGTGGGCAGGCATAACAAGCACTCGCTCTGGCACGTCAAAAATATAATCAAATTCCTCTGCAGACATTAAGACGATCAGTTAATTTACGCCAAAATGCGGATTCAAGCACACAACAGGGCTCCAATCTCAGTTAACTGTTTTTTTTTGTTTGTTTCCACGAAGGAGCATCCTGTTATTTACTTTCTCTTTCACATTCCTATCAGTTTAAAGCAGTGGTTCTCAAACGTTTCATTTATAAGCACAGTAAGTTTACAGATTTTCAAGTACTTTATGACTAACATTTTAAAATAGACATACATTTTTCAGTTAATTGAGAACAAAAAAAATAAATAAATAACCAAAGGGAATCAAAGCTTCATAGCTGCTATATTCAGATATCAATTGACTCTTTGTTGTGGGTTTTGGATGCATTCCCTAATAACACAGCAGAAGTGTAGCAGATTTTGAACATGTTCTGTCATTTGAACAAAATAGTATCTGTTTATTACTGAATGTGAGATACGTGTTAGGAGACATTGATAGGAAAGTTTAATATTCCTTACATTTACAAACATTTTTATGTAAACATTAGTACCTGATTGTTTAAAGTAGTAATTAATATCTTTAGGCACCTTCAGAACTGTACATTGAATACTAAAGGTTAATTCTAATTAAATTTTAAATGTCAAGATATCTGTTCACACACATACATTTTCAGTTTGGGCCATTGGGAAGATGCCGCACACTGTTGCGTGCAGATAACTAATGAAAGTGTTTCAGGTCAAATTGACTTACAGCCCAATTACAACCAGAGAAAGCACATTTTGTGGCACTCATATTCTGATCATACAAGATTCTTCTTATAGGTTTTCTAGTTGTTTGTTTTTCTAGTGAAACTATCTCTAAAAGTTTTTGGTAATTTAACTCTGCACTCTGCTATGTGTGTGACCACAGTGGGTGAGCAGTGGGTGAGAAAGGCAGGAAGCCACATTGGTTGTGTTACTGTTCTCAGTGGTGTCGAGTTGCCACTTCTTGCCCAAACAAACAGATTCTTTCACTGGATTAAACCAGAATGTCGTGAGAGATGTTTATATTATGCCACAAGTTCCTCAAGTAATGCAGATAAAGTCATGAAACAACAAAATTTAATAGTTTACGATCAAGAAGTTCTCACAAAATTGCATTCATAAGTGATAGAAGTGTGTTTAGAAGTGTTTAGAATAATGTGCTCACTCACAGAAACACAGTCTGTCTTTATATCGCTTTATACAATCTTTATAGAGGTTGTAATATGTTTTTAAAAATTACAAGTGTAGTCTCTTTAACTTAAAAACATTTTGTAACTTAATTTATTGGGTTACACAACAATGGGAGCATCAACAATGTAAAACCAATGTAGCTAAAACATTATTATTTCAAAATAGTATTGAAGAATCTTTCATTATTATTTGATGACCTTATCTTTCACTTGGGTATTTCTTTAATGTGGTACATTTTTGTGGCCACTTTTACAAATAGAAAAGGCAAGAAACCATGAAAATCCACTAATAATAATAAGTGTTTGTGATCATATATCAGGACCAGCTACAAAAAATTGTTGTTTGCATAAACTTGAACATTGTCTAATTTTTTGTTGCTATTTTAAACAATGACAAAGAAGATTAGATCAAATTATCCTCTGTCACAAAAAACAATAAAATCCCCCTTTTATAGTATAAGTGCCATTACACCTTAGTAATTTCACAAACATATTTGTGGTGCAAACAACTATTGGCTTCAGTAGTAATTGAATATACATGCAGAGGCAAGAAGAAAAGTCAACAAGGCAAATGGAGCATAAGATTAACTGACATTATTGTGTATATTTTGATATATTTCTCAAATTATAGTGATAAATATCTTTTTAGAAAAATTTCAAATCAAAAGACACATTGGAATCCCCCAAAAATTCTTTTAAAATCAGACCACCTCCACAGTAAAGTAAAAGTTTTTTTTTAAAGCCATATCAACCATTTGAATAGTTCTAAGGTTAAAATCTGTTGAGGTCAGCAAGAAGGACTTTTAACACATTTTTGAAGTTTCCTAGTCAAAAGAGGAAATGGTCAAAGGACATGAAGTGGAACTATATGTTCTCCAAACAGTCATTGACAACCAGTTAGTAAAAGTCTACAGATTAGATTGTGCAGTACTTTGTGACAAGGCTTGACAAAGAGATTAATGTACATGTTAAACACAGTGCACATAACAGCTTTAACATTTCACACACAAAAACTATAATACAATTATTCTATAGTGTGTAACTATTATATTTAATAACTGGATTAATATGTCTAGAAATTAGAGGATTATTTTAGTCACAACCTGTTATACGTTGAGTGAGCACCTGACAGAAATCCCTGTGTTTCCACACAAACAAGGAAAAGCATTCCTTGTTTATGTGGAAAAGCATTCTCAACATATACAAATATAGTAAGACGTATTTTCACTAAAAAGGAAGACAAAATTCAAGCTTATTTCATTCAAAATGTAAAGCTAAGCAACAACAAAGATTTTTTTTTTTTAAATTAGCGTTCCTGCTTGTCAATGCATCAGTTTAGTGACATGTGTCTTACATTTGGGTGTTGGGCCTTCCATATTAGCTTCTAATAACTGAGCCAAAAATGATTCTGTTCTATTTAAAAAGCCTAAATGAGAGGCTCGTTTTGGAAGTTATTTTTTATTTTTGAATGTAATGTAATGACATTTTTCAAAGTGAAAGTGTTTGTCTCACTTTAGGAAATTGGTTGTATTCAATTTTTAAAAACTAGAGCGATTTTCCTACTATCTATTATTCCATATTTGTTTTCCATTTGTTTGCGTGGATTGTTTTTACATCTTTCTTAAATATCGGAAAGCTCAACTTTTACTCAATAAAGTGTACTTTTAAGCATATTTTCTCTTCAGTCTACAATTAGAAAAAAATAAATAAAGTTCCACTAATTTGACCTTAAAACTAACATTTCTTCATTCAGTACATATTCTGGCTACTGTCAAATTTAAATCAGGATAAGTGAGCAGAAAAAACAGCTCTTTGAAACCCGCACTTGACGATGAGCTCTGATTTCCGGGGTAATGTGAACGCAGCATACGTGCACCGACCGTGTTGGGCCCATGGTGCGCGTGTCCCCCACACCGCGCTTGTGCTGCCGCCCTTGCTGCAGCAGAGTGTGTTTCAGTTCAGTCTCACAGACATGGCTGCTTTAAGCAAGATACCACACAGCTGCTACGAGGTCGGTCACACATGGCACCCGTCGTGTGTGCAGTCTGCCGCAGACATAACTAAGGGGGCTCTGGAGGTGTCCTTCAAAATTTACGCCCCTCTTTACCTGGTAAGTTGCTTTGAGTCTGTCTGTTGACTGGTAGCTAAGTAAAGTTGTCAAGCTAATCGAGTTGCTGTGAGAAAGACACTACGGATTAGCTAATGCTACAACTGAGGTGCAAGTTCGAGTCCTGCTACACAAACAGAGAAGCTAGCCTAATGAAACCCGTCAGTGTTTCTTTACAGGACGTCATGAACAGAGGAAAAGTTTTTTTCTGTCAACAGTTTAGTTAGTTCAGAGTAAGCTTTGTCTTATCTTGCAAACTCTGAAACGTTTTGCTAGAAAAATATTCAGACATTCAGTACTATGAATATCTCTGACATACTACTACATTTAGAAGTTAAACTCTCTTCTGCATTGACATTATCTAGTAATATTTACAACCATTGCGTGACTCAGATGCCATTGTACGCTGGCTGGTAAAAATAGGGTTGTGCTGCATTTATATTTCAGTGCCTGTAACTTCAATGTCCTATTCCCCCTCCGGCCCAGTTTGAACATACAGTATTCATAGAGTCAGAGACTGAACCACAGAACACTTTATAACCCAGAGGCTCTGTTACAGATTTTCCTTTTAAAGTCTTCATGTAGAACTACGTGTCTTAAGGTCTAGACCCAGAGAAAAATATACATTTTACGTGTTTCAATGCAATCTTGTGTTTTATTTTTAACCAATTTAAACTAAGGTTTAACTCAAAGCTGCACATATAATGTCACTTTCACTTTAGATCTAGTAAAAACACACAAGGTCACTTTCATTAGTTAAGCACCAATAAAAATAGAGCTATGTTTGCCTTGTCTGAGCAAAGTACGACTGTGTAGGGTAGCAAGTGTGTAAACTAACTACAGGAATAACAGGCCTTCCCAGTACTTTCTGAATAGGCCCGTATGAACGTCTCACAGTATGATAACTTTAATTAAAAATACCATGATTTCAGATTTTTATTTGAACAAAAAAATCTATGTGGAGCAAAAATAACATATTTAAATCAAGGAGCAACAATTATTATTTCTGCTAAAATAATATTTAGAGTTTTAAAGTTGAATGTTGTCACTCTGCTCTTTAGATTAAGTGTATTGGTATAAATTGAAACATGTCTTATTTGTAAGAAAGGTTAAAAGTGTAGGTCTTATTTTAGCCAACAGTTAAGCCCTTTTTACACCTGTAGTTACTCTGTCTATAAATGCAGTCTGATCTCCTTAAATCAGGCTGTTTTTCTGCAAATTCATCCATAGATGTTCTGCTTTTATTAATAGTGCTTTGTAATGAAATTTAGCCACACTTCTAAGTTATCCACATCTTACCTTCAACACCAACAGAAAAAAATATGGTGGGCAAATAATTTCAGATTTAGCAATAGCAACATTTTAAAGAAGGGGGCAAATGTTCTGTGGAATTCTTTGCAGGGTGGCATAGCATCGTCACATTGAAAATAGACAACATTAGATTAAGCTGCTATAAATAAAATTACCTTCATTTCAGATGCTCATCGACAATGAAGTTAGTATTGAATTCAGCACTGTGATAAATATCAGAAGTCCTATCGCATCTTCTTATGATTTTTGAGAGCAGTGCTGAACCAGTAAACTACAGAGCTTAATTGTGAAGTAAAATGTTTTTTGGTGCTCAGTATATGCTAATTACTTAAGCATGACTTGTCTCAAATTGAGCACTGCAAACACAGTGATTACTGTCTGACTGTGTTTGCAGATAGCAGCAATTCTACGGAGAAAGAAGAAGGATTATTATTTAAAGAGGCTTCTCCCTGAGATCCTGTGGTCTACCTCTTTCCTGACTACCAATGGAAGTCTCTTCATTGTTTTCTTCTGCATTCTCAGGTTAGTAGTTCCAAACGTCCTTCAATGTGAAAGTGACATTTTAGAAATGCTGCTTTTTAAAACCAGCTTTGAGTTTTTTTAAATACATTTTTCATGTCTACATGTCTGCAGAATTTAATAAATTATAAAATACCTGCTGACAGTTTTAATCTGAAGTTAAATCTCAGAATATTGTTTTCTTGCATTACTACCCAAACTATCCAAGCATGCTTATATTTTCTACTATAATTACAACCTTACTTGTTTTCAACAAATAAAGTCTAAAAGTCACTTTAATGTTTTCAGAAAATCAGACAAATATTTTTATTAGGAAAATCTCTTTTTGATGATACCTACAACGCACAAACAGTACTTGTGTGACAGTAAAGTTTACAGTTTGATCCTGAGCTACTAAAAAAGAGATATTTTGTGTTCTGAGAAGTTCAACCTCATCATGTTCCACAATTATATTAATCCAACTTTGCATTAGACTCCCAAATTAAGAGATGTGAGTAAAATTGATCTGAAGTGTTTCCTTCAGAATTCCAGCCAAAGGCTTTGTGGAAAATATATCTAGGTTTAAACTAAGTGGGATATCAGACCCCAAGTAAAAAGAGGTAATTTTTTGAATTTCCTTTGGAATCCCTGTAATCAAGTCCATTTGAAAGCCTGGACTGTGATGGCGTTTTTCAAGTGAAAGTGTTTGTCTCACTTCAGGAAATTGCTAGGAGCGTTTTACCCATGGTCCACGGGTTTGGGGCAGCTTTGCCAGCCTCCTACATCGCCATCCTTCTGGAGCGGAAGAGCAGGTGAGATTTTTTTCCTTTTCTTCAATTTTTATTGCATATTTTTTCCATTGAGAATAATAGAATGTTGTAAATTTTTGGCCCTAGGTTCTTGGATGATTTTAATTGTAATAACTTATATTTCTTTATTATATTGCTGTCTTTTCTTTCCAGGAGAGGTCTGCTGACAATATACATGGCAAATCTTGTAAGATTCTGTTCTGTTGCAAATTATGTGTCTCATATGTGCATTTATATTTATTAGTTGAATTAAATTTTTTTTTGCCAGGCTAGTGAGACTTTGTTCCGCATGGCAGTGACACGAGGCATCGTCAAGCCCATTAGACATGGAGAGGTGAGATGAAGCCTTTGTGCTTCTTTATGATTAAATCTGTTGGAGGGAATACAGCACAGCTAGCAAAACACCATGCACAAATTCCTATTTTGAAATCAAATATGAAAACACATTTTGTTTGCAAAATATTAGGAAATCTTGCCATGTTATGTTATTGATAAAAATTGAGATATGTCACTTGAAATATGCCTATATTCTTTCCTCTCATTGTCATCTGTGCTTCCTACACTTTAGCAGCGTCATTTATTTTCTTCTATTAGCATCTGAGGCTCTTACTGGCTTCATACGTGGTGCACAAAGTCAGTCCTCAAGGAACTGCATGTTATAACTATTGTCCTGCTTCAACATACCTGAATCAAATGATGGTTCATTAGCAGTTTTCTGCAGAACTTTGACATGCTGAGGAAGTCGTTGGACTATTTGAATCTGCTGTGTTGGAGCTAAAACTGGCAGGACTGGCGCTGGACCTTAATGAACTAAATATTACATTAGTGTAAAATGTAATATCTAGTTCATAGTGTAAATGATTCAGTCGTAACATTTGGAGTCCCTTGTATATTGTCACTGATATTGCAGTGACAATATAGCTGTGATAAATTGTGCAGTCTTAGTTTCGATCTGTGTGAAGATATTACTTTTACTCAGGAAGTATCGTCTTACCACTTTAACTGTATATCTAAACTGATAGTGTCATGGTGTTGACGTGTTCAAATTACAAAAATAAATATTTTCTCTTATAGTCCTGATTTTATTTTTCATGCTGCTCCCAATCAGGTGCTCTTGTTCTGCATAACTGCATCAATCTTCATGTTTCTCTTCAGGTAAGAGTGTTGCATTCATCATATTTTGAGTAACATTTAAACTATTTTTAAGCATAAACTATTTGTTCAGAGCGGCAGAAAACACATCCATGCCACACTTTTCAGAATTGAATTTGAAAAAGAAACAAAAACCTTGTATCATTTTACTTCACTCTTCTGCTCTACTTTCTGTTGGTCTGTCATGTAAAATCCCAATAAAATAAATGTAGGTTCTCGGTAGAATGAAACTACTAACACTCACACACACAGTTTGAAATGGATCAAGCTCTTTGAATACTTAAAAAAACTCAGTAAGAAAAAAAAAGAGGAAAAACAAATCACTTTAATAGTTTGAGATGAACTTGGTTTTATTTTGCAGAAGCAATGACGGTCTTAAAGGCTTTGCATTTTCTGCACTAAAGTAAGTCACCCCTCATTTTGTTTATGCTTCAGGTTCAAATGTCAGAAGTGTTTTGATGAGTCTGATGAGTTTGAGTTTGTGTTGTTTTACAGATTCATTATTGGGAAAGAAGAGATTCCAACTCACTTTCACATGGCAGACTCTGTTGGCACACAGCCCCCTGAGAGGCCAGCTGCCATAGAGACCCAACACACACAGGTCTCAGCAGAAAAAGCCGACCATAAGAGGAAAACTCTGAACGCCTACACCAGGAAGCTGCTGGAATCAATGTGAGAATCAAAAGCATCTCTACATAAGAAAAAACAAATACCTCAGTTGTAATTAACAGCAAGTACTAACTTGTTTGTATTTTTAATGATTCAGATGCAAGCGTGGTCCAAGACACAGATGTTGTAAACATTACCAGGATAACTGCATTTCCTACTGTGTTAAAGTAAGGCTTCTTATCTGATTTCCTTAAACAATGGATGTAATGTGCTTTGAGTATATATGCAAATACTATACCAGAAATCCTGATGTTCCATCATTGTCCCCTCAGGGTTTTGTCAGGATGTTCAGTGTTGGCTATCTCATCCAGTGTTGTCTCAAAGTGCCCTCAGCTTTCAGGCAGATGTTCTCCAAACCATCTCGGCTGCCTTCTGTCTTCTACAATAAAGAGAATTTCCAGCTGGGGGCCTTTCTAGGCTCTTTTGTCAGTATTTATAAGGTGTGTGTACTCTGTGTTCTTCTATTTCTTTAACTTGTATGCATGTTACATGTTTCTGTGCTTTCATATTCTCTTTTCATTCTCATGGACTCATCAGAATGTTCTGCCTTATTTTTTTAGGGAACGAGCTGCTTGTTGCGCTGGCTGCGTAACATTGATGATGAACTTCATGCACTGATAGCTGGTAAGAAAAATCCTGCAGAGCAATCTTCTGTGATTTTGTTCTGTTCACAACTGTCCCTTTTCCCTCTCCTTTGTGTCCTTTCAGGCTTCTTGGCTGGTGTCTCGATGTTCTTCTACAAAAGCACAAGTATAACCATGTACCTCTTCTCTAAGTTGGTGGAGGTAAATCACACCACATCTTAAAGCAGACTCACACTTTGTGTCATAGAAATAAATGTCACTGGTGATGGTTTAATTTCAAGGAGGCAGAAACACTTTACAGTGAATAAACTCAATGCAAGCAAAAAATTAAGCTAAAAAGAAACTATAAACTTAATCTGAAAAAGTCTCATTTCATGTCCCTGTTTTTTGAAAGTTTATCTATCAGGTTTTGGGCAACTGAGTCTAACTGATTTGTTTGTGTTTCATCTGTTTACAACTGGATTTTAACCAAAAATATGTTCCTACCCAAACCAGTTGTAAATTTCCAACCAGCTGCCATCTTGTAAATCAAGCATGTCAACTTCCTGTAAAAAAAAAAAAGAAAAGAAAAAGGTAGAGCTTGTGGTTGATGTTGAATCAGCAGTAACTCTATTAGGTTAACTTTATAAGTAATCATAAATATTGTTCTTATTTTACAGTCTTTAATATAATTTAATAAGATAAAACGGCATTCATGAACACAAACTTGTTCAACTCTTTCAATTAGAAGATAAAACTCTAAAGTTGTGAAACTCAGATTACCTGCTATGTTAAAAGTGACATGTAAACCAGCTGAAAAATCACATTAGTAGCAGCACAGGCTTCAAATTTATATTCCTGACTGTTACTTAAAAATTGTGTCAAGCTGACATGTTTTAGTAATTGTAGTTCATATCCAGTGTTGACTTAATCCAAATTTATCTGAATTAGGCTTGTTTTATCACTAACCAAATGTTATCTCTCTTTTTGAGACCATGTACTTCAGAGGCATTGAAGCTGGCCGGTTCCCTTACTTTCCACATGCAGATACGATTATTTATGCCATCTCCACTTCTATCTGTTTCCATGCTGTAAGTGGCTTTGTAACAAAAACACCCAGGTACTAACATGAACATGCTTCATGTGCATTTTTTTCTGCTGACTAATGATAAGTTTGGCTCATGACATTTCCACAGGCAATAATGGAAGTGCAGAACCTCAGACCTTCATACTGGAAGTTCCTGCTGCGTTTAACAAAGGGCAGGTATGTCCATATGGTTTAAAAATAAAGGGTTGCCTTTGCTTATTACACAACAAATAAATTGTGTATGTCCCTAAAAATGATAAAGAACAGAGAACTCTGGAAAAACATACTAAATTACTCAATCATTGGACTTTCTTCTGTTCTCATGGTGATTAAGGACTATTCCATGTCTTTGTTTCTAGATTTGCTCTGATGAATCGAGAGCTGCTCGACGTGTTTGGGACAGAGGCGTCCAGGAATTTTAAAGGGTTTGTGCCCATGTTGGACCCTAGCTACGCCACTGTAATCGGCCGGACTGTGCTTCCACCTGGAGGAGACGCTAAGCTTGGGTGACTTGGAGGCAAAAGTCTTGAAATAAGACAAAAAAAGACAGAAGAAAGTGGACAGTCAATTACTTAGGGCTTTGTCAAGGTGACATATCTGAGAAGAAGAAATATTGTAGCGATTCAAAATCTGAAGATTGGGTCAAAGCAGGATGTTGTGATTTTCATTTGTGAACCAGCACAAATAAGCATACTGTAAGTGATTGAACACTTACAGGTAGCTGGGAAAAATAAATAAAGATCCATTATTACTTTCAAAACATCATTTTGTTTAAAAAAATTCTAGTGTAATTAAAGTGATAAAAGCAGAAGTCTCACAAGGAATCTCTTTTTTTTTGACTAAAGTCCAGGCTGACATTAGATAACCTTCAAACCTACTGACAATCAGTCTTCAGTTAACAAATTGTTATAATATGCAGTCTTTGGCAAAAAGACTGCATATTAAAGGCAGCCATTTTAAAAAGATATATGTTAAGGATACTTTTATAACTAATAAAAGAAATCTAGTAAAAAGTATGTTAAACTAATGTTTGCATCACATTTAAATGTAACAAGATTATAAACAAATACTTTAAAACACCAGAGATGTCCTTTTACTATGTTTTAAAGGTTTCAGAAAATCCAATATTCTCTAGTTTATGAAATTTAAAGTTAAAATAAAGGGGAAATTTATTTCCAGCCTTCTCAACAAAATCTACAGTTTTGTTTGACAGGAAATACAATTTATGCCGAAATTTAAACTAAAGTGATGTAAATAACCTCAAGTTTCATTATGGCCTCCAACGTTCAGCTCCTTATTCAGGAGGACCTATGATATTAGCAGTTTTAGTTTACTGCATAAAACATTTTTTCAGGCATATCTTTCAGTTTTAAGTCAATATTCTGTTAGTTGTGAATGCATTGTTTCATTGGGTTTGTTCAAATAAGGGAAGGAAAGCAAAGACTGTGAATAAAATACAGAGAAAGTAGCTTCTTTGTTAGGTACTGGTGTGAATGTGTGTGTATACTGAGCTGAAAGTTTTTTTTTTTAATTCCTCTATATTTTCATAGAAATATATTTTGAACCACAAAAAGATCAAAGACCAAACGGTGCATTACCAGTTAGCATGTTTTATCTTCCTGGACCAGATATTTTCTGTTTTTAGATAAAAAAGAGTAATGGAAGGTGATGAGTGAACACTTAATATAATTCCTTTCATTCCAGCCAAAAATAATGAATCAAATAATTTCTTTATAATTAGCTTAAAAAAGATCACAGGCACATTAATTAAATACATGTTGGCCAGCCATAAAAAATTAATATTTTTTCAGCAGCTTATAAAAGAAGAATATGTTTGAGTGTTGCCAGAACGTTTAAGATACTTCATCTAGAGTACGAATACACCCAGTTTTCCTGGGTGTATTCATACTTGTATCAGAGTATGATACAATATAATTTTTTTTCAGTCAATGCTCGTTTCCTGTAAACTGGATCACATTTACATATGACTGAGATAAAAACAAAAACCTTTAGATGTTATCAAAAATAATTTTACTATAGGAATGCAAACAGTGACATTAATTTTGATCAAGAAAGGAATCGTAACGCTGCCTGTGATTATTGTACTTACTGAGTGGAATTTGTTTCTTTTTCTCAACAAAATTTAACTGGTAATTAACACTTAAAATGTTTAGAACTGTACCTGTGGAGGTCTGTCTATATACCAGTTTGTTCTATTTATTGAAATACTTAGTGACCCTGCAGTCAAATGAGATTATTCTACCATACTTTTGCAGCATAAAAATAGTAGGTGGTGGGTTTTGAGTGTCTGAATTTAACTGCCTACAATTCTGCAGTTTTTTCATAGTTAAAGGGTCAATGTTTGATAAGAGTTAGATATAATTCATATTTCAACTTGTGTTGAAAGGCATTTTCAGAATGTTATTTGTTACTGGCATATTAATTTTTGCATAAATCTAATGCTGAATCTGTTGTTTTTAATCAATCAATCAATCAAATTTTATTTGTATGGCACATTTCAGCAGCAAGGTATTTAAAATGTAGATTTTTGTTCAAACTACCTTCACTACACAACACACAAGAATTTGGAGAAATTGAAAAATATCAGTGCACAATACATTTTTCTTTTTTTTTTGAACAGCGACACAGATGCTTAAATGATTTTGTTCCTGGAAGAGTGAAAAACAAGCTCACTTTAAAGGTGATTGTCATCATAAAACTTAGAAACATTTGTGCTTTTTAAAATTTACTTTCAGTTCAGGGTTATATAGACAATACAGTTTGTGAAATCTTACACACCTATTTATGGAAGTTATTTGAAATGCCAGTTTGTCAACGTTGAATTATGCAATCACTTGAATGCAGCTCAGCTTGAGATGCACCTGACCTCTAATATGACAAGTGCTTAGGAAGTGTGTGTGTATATGTGTGTGTGTGTGTGTGTGTGTGTGTGTGTGTGTGTGTGTGTATATATATATATATATATATATATATATATATATATATGTATATATATGTATATATATATACACACACACACACACACACACACACACACACACACACACACATATACTGTTGATAGTTACATTGTAATTGTTTTAGGAATTTACTCATCTAAGAAGGTTTATATTAAAATGATTCTCAATCCAAATGCAGGACTCGTTTGTCATTTTTGTACTGGTTATGTTTGTATAGATTATAAACAGTGTGTATATTATAAACACATCGGTGTGTGGTTTCCATTAATTAAGTTAAAATATTCAGTAGATTTCAATTATACAAAAATTGGACTGCAATGTGATGTAATAAGTACAGTTCAGTATAGTTTTGAAAAATTCTTTTTGGTTAGTTGTATTAAAAATTGTATTGACTCAGAAGTAACCCAGAAAATAAGTTGATTACATGTGATAATTAGAATTTGAATAATTATTTAGGTAAGAAAAACTACTACAGGACACTTACTTATACCAGTTTTATCATTACTAAAAGTGCTTGATGGGGCTTTTTTTTTTAAATCTTTGACCTGTGATTTTTGAGTTCTTTTTCGCAATTGCTTTTCCGGATGTTCCTTTATTTTGAAAGATTTTGAAAGGAAACCATATAAGTCACATGGCTTTGTTTAGTTTGCTGCGTTCGGATAACTCGGAATTTAAATTTTTAAAAAATGAAAATCAAACAACTCAACAGAATTCCATTAAGTTAATTATTTCGATGCAGCTTTCAATATTTACAACATGCCTAGTTATCATTAGTCATTTTGGCGAACATATTTTGTTTCATACAAAAAGCGAGGAGATAGACTATTTCCTTGTTGCTTTAAATGCGTTAACGTCTATGGTGACGTAGGACTGAGTTGGTGTTGGTCACTTCCGAGTTGGGGTCCCTGTGTGATAGCGAGTAAGAACACATTTGTATAAGCTAAAGAGTTCAAATGTAGATAGATCACCATGGGGGGAAAGAACAAACAACGAACAAAAGGAAATGTCCGGGTAAGCAACCACCAATGTCTGCGATACAGCGTTGACGGTAAAAAGTCAGCTAACACGAGCTAATACAAATTTCGTATTAGCTCGTCGTTTCAGCTAAAACGACGCATGTTTAAACTGTGATGACCATAAATTGATCTTCAGGCGTTTTTTTTATTCCCTCCATTGCTGTGTTAAAACAAATTGTTTCCTGTAATCAGCCGTCCAGCAGCGGCCGAGCTGCTGAGGTTCTGGCCCGGGAAGGGGGTGCCATTCCGGGCTTTGTGGGCTTCGATACGACGGTCACCTCTGAGCTGAGTTATGTCCCAGCTGTCCACGGAGCGGAGGAAATAGACAACCTGGTGGATGCCGATTTCCGCCTAGTGCTGAGGAAACTCTCAAAGAGGGATGTTGTCACCAGACTGAAAGTGAGCTTGAGCTGAATGATGATCTGCAGAAACAGGAAAATGCGCATATTATGACTCTTGCAAACTTTGGTGTTCTTTGTAAAAATTAGGTTCTGAGAACATGAATAAAAACATCACCTTCGAGCTCTCATCGTTGAAAGTGTGTTTTATAAGCTTGTTCTTCGCAGGCAGTGCAGGACTTTGGGGCCATGTGTCAGGAACGGGATGCTGAAGAGGTGAAGGGAGTTCTGCCATACTGGCCCAGAATTTATTGCAAGATATCAGTGGTAAGTTGTTAATTCACCTGGCATTCACCCAGTTATCTATTCAGCATAGTCACTTTACATAATGTGATTTGATAAACCAATTTGCCAGTGATGTAAGTTGGCTATTTGTTTTTCTACTCCTTAAGCTTTAAAACAAAATAACTATATTTTTGATTTATACGCACAACAATTAACAGTGTGTACTGTGATGCACTAAACATTAGAGACACGATTTGATGTATAAATATAACTAATAGTGTAACAGCTTCAAAGCTACTTGCAGCATATTTTATTCAAATTTTAATCCTTAAAATAAATATTGGTTTTGAGCTCTAGTGTTTTTAATAGTTGAAATAATTAATCTTTCAACTAATTTTACAGTCGTGCATTAAAGTGTTTCTGTGTTTCTCATTTGATCTGTTAGGACCATGATCGCCGTATCAGGGAGGCCACTCAGCAAGCTTTTGAACAGCTGGTGCTAAAAGTGCGTCGCAGCCTGGCTCCCTTTCTGAAGAGTTTGATGGGCCACTGGATTCTTTCGCAGTGTGACACTTACACACCCGCGGCCTCTGCTGCCTGCCAGGCTTTTCAGGCTGCGTTCTCACCTGCTAAACAACCTGAAGCTCTCAGCTTCTGCAAGGATGAGATCCTTACTGTGAGTGGAAATGTTAACTTTTCTGCAGAAATGTGGATTCTTGTGCTAAAATACGTAGAAGTGGTACATTGCATAAATATCCCTACTCTTAAAGGTTATGTAATTGTGCAACTGCAAACATTGGTGTTTTGTTTCAGTTTTATTTGCATAAAACTGTATTTTCTGTGACAAGACAGAAAATACAAGACAAGTATTTTCTGTCTTGTCACAGAATTTTATTTAGAGCTGAACTTTGACTACACCATTCTAACACGACTGAGATTTACTCCTACCCATTTCCATTGGTCGGCATTTCCAGGGTTTTCCTGTATTTATCTGCATCAATCTTCCCATTGGTTCCGACCAGCTTCCATGTCTCTTAAGAAGAAAAGCGATCCTAAAGCATGATGCTACCATCATAATGTGTCACCATAGGGATGGTGTGCTTAGGTTGTTGAAGTGTAGTTTTTTACATCACAACGCCCTTTTTATATGTACCAAAATCTTGGATTTTTTTTTCATCTGACCTCAGAGAACCTTCTTTCACATCATATCCAATGGATATTGCTTTAAAACATAACCCTGCTTTAAACTTGTTTTTAAGTATATCCCTGAACCACATGCCATGTTCCTTTTTTCTCTAATGCTCTTTATTTACTAATGTTGTCAAACACACCTCTGATAACCTCTGACGTCTGAATAGCTGCATTTACACTGATTAATTTCACACAGTTGGTCTCAGTTTACTATTAATCATTATCAAAGGCAATTACTTCAGCAAATTTTTATGTGAAAACTATGACAGGAAAGGTTGTGATGTGACAAGAAACTGAATATTTCTGAATGTCTTCAGTATATAAGACATAATTTTATGACCGTGTTGCAGGTGCTTCAAGATGTTCTATTAAAGGAAACCGCAGACACTCTCAGTGATTCACAGTATGTTAAAAACCTTTTCATAATCTTAGCTTCTGTCTGTTCCTTTATTGTATGTGTGCAGTAATTATATATTTTTGAAAACCAACACAAAAAGATTTACTGAGGCACTGATTTCTCTTGTTCAACAGAAGTGTGACAGAAGAGGAAAGAGAAACCAAATATGTTCGCATGCTGACCAGTTCGCTGTTGGGGGTGAAGAGGCTGCTTTCCCTACTGCTTCAGAATGACAGGGCAACTCTGCAGAAAAGATTAACTCTACTGGTTAACTCTGGGAAGTTCTGGAAATACAGCAAGCACAAGACTCCACAGGTTTGCATTAAATGACGTTTACATTTAGTGCGATAAGATTTGAACAAGAACATTTGCTTAGATAGTTGTTGTTACTAGAGCGACTCCTTATCAGTCGTTACTGAGTTGCCCTAACCACGTTTGTTGCTCCACAGGTCAGAGGAGCCTTTTTTGAGATGCTGTGTGCTCTGTGTGAATTCACACCAGATCTGGTTCAGAGTGAAGCAGCACGACTGTGCCCTGCTGTTCTCCTCAATATTGATGACACAGACCCTGTTGTGCTTCCTCACGTGTGGGAGGCAGTTCTTCATGTTGTGTCCACTATTCCTGTGAGTTTGAATGACCTGTTCCAGAGGGTCCCAACTCTGCTCCTCAGAGTCCACTGTCCTGCATGTTTTAGGGGTTTCTCTGCTGCCATACTCCTGTCTAGCTGAATCAGTTCTGTTGGAGCAGAGTAACATCTAAAACATACTGTACAGTGGACCTTCATGTTCATTATCCTGTTTGGGGAGTAAAACAAAAGCTGTTCTTTATATGTTTATATGTTGTCTAAAATTGGTTTTAATAGTGAAATCAGTAGCTAAATCAAAGATAATACAACTAAAAATGCTACATTCTATATATTTATTGGTAGATCAAATGAAAATATATTATTACCTATTTTATTACCAGAAACAAAGGAGGGATATTTCGGAGTGAAAAACACTGAGGGTTGCTAAACTTTTTAATAGTTGGAATTAGGCTGTGCAATAAACCCAAAAACTGCATCTCAAAATTTACAGGACTGAGATGTTGAATGTTACATTTCAGGACAATACTACTAGAATTGTCCTGAAACGACTAGCTTTTGACTAGTCATTTCTAGCTTTTGACTTGTTTGGAAGGATAGCCAGGAGACTGTCTCTTTAGTCTACAAATAATATGGTAGCATAACTCAATTTGCAAAGCACCAATTGAAGGAACTACTGGACTTCAGTGTAGACAAGTAAAGCTTTTGACAGCTCATACTGGCTGTTAGGCATGTGGGGTGGAAGTGTGATAATTTGGGTATGTTTTTTTCTGCAACGTCAAAAATCCCAGACCTGAGCCTGTTGCAGCATTGACTCCTTTAACTAAATACTTTAGGTCTGTCTCACCATTAAAATGTTTTTAACAAATCACACTAAAGTGTGCAGAGATGGAACAGATTTCTGGACTTAAGACATGGTTGTTTGCGTCAATTAGTTACTAGACAGCTCTAGCATTAGCTGTTAAAAATCATAGAATAATGAATCAAAATCTTTTGAGGCACAAAAACATGTTAAATGTTTTTTCCCCCTAAAGACTAGGAGATGTTTGACAGATGCTTCCTATGCAGGACATATCTGGCTTAATTCGCTGATTTATGAATGGCCAGAAGGAGCATAAAGAGGGTCTTGTGTTTGTGACTGTATAACAACACTGTGGTGAAAGAACTTATTGACTAAAGAGACACTATGAAATCTTCTTCCAAAATATTTGAGTGGAAATTTTGAGAAAGCTGAAGCTTGACCCAAACTGTGTCATTACACAATCCTGAATACATCAGATCTTTAACAGAGTAGTTGGGGGTGAGAGAATGGGAACAAAATCTAGACTGAAATTTTGAAGAGAGTTGTGTAAAAGACGATTAGAAAAATGTGAGTCAGAATTCTTCCTCAATAAGGTCAGAGGCTGAGAGATACAGAAAACAAACAGTTCTTGAAGTGGTTCTAAACACAATTCAATCATGGATATATTTAGCTTTTCACACAATGCATCTCAGGTTCCATTTTCTTTAAAATCCATAGTTTCTTCTGTGTGATTTCTTCATTTTCTTCAAAATCTTTCAGGATTGTTGGACACATGTAAATGCCAAGAAAGGCTTTCTTCCTAAACTATGGGCTTTATTGAAAGAAGGAGGTAAAGGCATGGCTAAAGGGCTCCATCCGAATCTCATGCCTCTTCTCAGTAAACTGCCGCAGCAAATCACAGATCCTGACTTGGACTTCTGCGCCACTTTTTACACCGCATTCCTGCAAGGGTAACTTGTTTGTGCTTTTATATGTGAAATGTTATCCGATGTGCATTTTCCAAAAGTAATTCCCATATTTCTGCGTGTTTTGTGTTGGTCAGCCTGTCCAGTGAGCGTGCGGTGACGAGCCCTTCGGAGAGCGCAGTCATAGTGACGTCTTTTGTTGAGTGCTTGAGGTACAGCATAATGCAGAACGCCGGGGACGAGCAGTCTCAGGAGAAAATAAGGAGCATGCTCATTTCCCAGCAGGTGTGATTATGCTGTCATGCCAAATTTTCCCAACATTTTCTAACTCGGATGGATCTTAAAGTGTTTTGCTCTATTTCTGCAGCTCCTACCGTTGATAGAAAATGCTATCAGAAATTCTTCCCTTCAGAATGGGCCTCTTTTTCTGCTGATCACCGAAATGCTAATTTCCTGGGAGAAGAGGGCGGGTTTACATGGTGAAGGCGAGAAAAATGACAACAAGGATGTCTTCAAGAGACTTTTAGCTGACTTCTGGGAGGAACTCTGTCTCCTGTGTGTGCAGTTTGTCGATGACGAGGACGTTGATCTTCCAGCTTTGGAAGGCGTAGCCACTTTGCTGCAGGTGAGTTTACTTTTACGCTTTAGTAAAATGTGTCAAGTAAAATATATTTGAAATAAGAGCTGGTTTTTTCTCTCTTGAATCTCTCCAGGTCATGCGTAATCCTGAGAGAATAAGCAAAAAACAAACCCAGAAGAAGAAATCTGTCAGGATGTGTCTCACAAAGACAGAAGAGGATGAGAAATCAGTAATTCAGGGAGAGGGAGTCGAAAAGTTTGCACAGACTGTGTCAGAGCCTGTGCAGGAGAAGGTGTTTGGGTCCCTACAGACTCAGCATTTTGAAGACGGCGTGTGCCAGCTGGCTCAGCTGTGCCTCGTGCATGTGAATGAGAAAAACTCAGAGAAACATCTTGTTTTTCTGTCCCTTCTCCTGCAGTCTTTTCACACACCCAGGATTTTCAGTGTAAGTCAAAGATCTATTTTCGTTTGACAATGATTTCTCTGCTGCAAAATCTAGTTAAGTAAAATAAGTAATGTTGCGATTACTTTTCAAATGTTATATATTGTGCAACTCTTTGTCTGTAAATGCGTTCAAACCAGAACTCCTAAAGTGGCATTTTTAGCTTCATACTAGAATACATTTTATCTTACTTATTTCAGACCTTACTTGAATTTGATGAAATTAAACCTGGAGATGATAAATGGACAGGGGAGAAAAATCCAGCAGTTCAGTTTCTGCTGAGGCGTGTGGTCGTATGGCTGGCGGAGGTGGGCCGCAGTGATACCGAGCACCTGGTGGAGATGGTTTTCAGCTCACTGTCCTGCTGCAGCCAGGAGGAGACCACACACATTCTTAATCACACCACCAAGGTAACCTCATCCTCATTTGTTTGATATACAACTGAAGTTTTACCTTTTTTTTTTTTAATGGTCCGTTTCTCTTCTTTCTAGATGGGTTTGGAGTGGAGAATTATCCTGCAAATTATTCAGAGAGTAAGTGTTCAGTTTTCATCGGACTTAAACCAGTTTGTGGTTTTTGTTTAGAAAAGACAACTTGACTTTGTTTTCTAACTTGTGAAGGCATGTAAAGATCCCAAGACTCAGGCAAGCTGCAGGAACTGGCTGAAAGGTTCGATTCTGGGCGAGCAGCTCCTGGGACTGACTGAAGAGCTCTGCAAGATGGAGCACAACTCGAATGCTCCCAAAACCCCCATAAGCAACAACAGCTGGACGCTTATCAGCCTTGTTCTCTCTCAGAACAACAACAATGGTAACTCAAGAGAAATTGTGCAGAAATACTGCAAAGATTTTCTTTCTGCTTGACAAAAAAAGATGACATGTCTTACATTTTGATATGTTTTGTGTTTAGAGTCTTTAATAGGGGAGGTGTACATGGAGAAAATGTTGGAGAAGCTCCACGCTACTCTGTCCGAGACCAAGAGTCTGTCGGACGCGGGCAACATGGAGCCACTCATCTCCTTCATCTGCGACGTGGCTTCCTCTTTCTTCTGCTCTGTCCAGGATTGTCTGCTGCTCCTCTCTGCTGAGGAGCTCCTCCTGACCGTCTTCCAGTTGACTGCGCAAGATCAAAGACACACTCACCTGTCTGGTGGGTTGATACACAATGCACAAAAATGTCTAATTCAGCTGTGAGAGAAAGAAAGAGCAAATTCACGTTGCCATTACTTTTCAGAATCACTGTTGGATAAGCTGAAGAAAGTGTGTGTAGCTGGAGTCAGGTCACTGGTGCAACACTGTGAATGCGAGGTCCGCCAAGGCGGCTTCCTACACAGTGCAGCCGTCTGGGTCATGAAGCAGCTTCTGACCGTCAATCTCGATATTAAAAGGTAAATCTTTGTGCATGGATCTTATTTTTTTAGAGTGGTCTGTTGTATTATCTTGGATTATTATATATATTTTTTTCATTTTAGCTTGCAGGGTTTAGTCGGAGCTGTCCAAAACTTGGTGGAAACAATTGTCTCTGTTGGCGACCAAGCATCCTCTGTCCTCAGCCAATTCTTTGCTCTTCTGACACCGACCCAGGTGGAATGGACCAGAATCAGACACGCTCTGTGTCCTCAGGTTAGCAAGTCCATACCTAAGCCTCAACGCTCTTCCAAACATTGTTCCCTTGACTGTCTGGTATGTTACTTAATCTGTTGTTGAGTAATGTTAAACAGACTGATCAGTGCAAAGAACAGTTGCATTCACACCAAGATTAAATTACACCAAGGTGTTGTAGGTAAGGTTACCTCTAAAGGTGATTGATTGCAGTAGATTCATTTTAGGCCAATAGAATGTAAAGAGTCTTGAAACATATGCATTTCACCATAGAATTTAGTAAAAATGTTGTAAACTGTAATTTTTCATCCATTTCTAATTTATTTACTAATTTGTGCTGGTCTTGGATAATATTCCCACAAAATGAATTGATGTTCTTCCTCTTAGTGTGACAAAATAAATATTTGAGGGGTAGGAATACTTTGCAAGACACGGCACAAGGAAAACATGTAACATTCATGTAGTACCTCCATTTTTTTTCACTTGTTTTAAGTGGGTCAAATCTCCTTTGCTGTCGAACCGTCACAGAGGAGTTTGTGAAAAGCCCTCTAAGGACATGTGGAAGTTCAGAGACTCAAACAGGCTGCCTGCTCACCTCTGTGTCTGTGCCGTCTTGGGAATTGTGGCCCAGACTGCTGCAGTTCTAGCTTTTGGCCAAAAGGAGGCGCCGTGTTCTTCATTCCTCCCAAATCTTACAGGCACAGGTACACAGACAAGACTCTATTAAGAACAAAGTTGTTTTCTACTACCAGTTTTTGATGCTTTCATAAGTTTGTTCCTTTTCAACAGTTTCAGAAGTGCTGTATGCGCTGCAGTGGTGTAAGGAGCTCGATTTCCGGCCCCCGGTAGCATCTGCTTATCACAACCTATTCTGAATGGGGACTATCAGATGGACTCCATAGCAAAGTCCCAATGAAATCTCTACTAGAGACCCTGTACTCAAGGTCAGATTCACCTCAGGCTTTCTTTCATCTTTCTAAAAGTAATATTCAATGTTAACTTTTGATTAAATTCTTCTCCTTTTCTGACCATAAGGTCTGTGACAGATGGAGGTCTGTGGACTCTGACACTAGAAAACTACATTCACTCCAACGATTTGGCAGCCACTCGCAGGGGAGCTCTAAAAAGACTTTATGATAGTGCAGATAGGTAAGAAATACTTTCTTATAAAAGACTTTATAAGAAAGTATCTGATTTTTTGTTTTTTTTCTATACATTTTTAGCTGTGAAATTGTAGCTCTTGTTTTGTTTTATATTAAATATGTTTATTTAATCAGTCTTTTCCCAGTGAATATGAGCAAACTGAGCACGCTGCAGGTGCTTTGCCCACTTATGGCTAAAGAAGACAGAGAAACTCTGATTGCTTTGGCTACTGCTGGAATAATCAACTGGCAAGAAGATGAAAGTGAGATACTGTAGCACTATACAGTAATCTATATCTTATAGATTTATATATGCAAGTAGTTAATGTTGGCTGTGTGTTGCAGATGTTTATGGCAGTCTGGCAGTGCTGCTGTGCTGCCTGTATGCCAACACGCCGGTAGAAGACGAGGTCATTCAGGCTGTCCTTGCCACTCTGATGGAATGGAGGAACAACAGGGAGGATTGGTTTCTCTTTAGCTGGTAAATGAAACAACTTTTATCATTTTTATTTCGTTAAAACTAGCAGATACTGCTGTAATTTAAGCAGTTAGACTACAATTGTTAATTACTAAGTTGACATTGTGGCTCATTCACATGTTCAAGATTTGCAGCATGTCTTTAAAAAAAACAAGGTTAATCTGTAGATTAGATACTTTATGCTTTCAGAAAATGCTGATATGTCAACTGACATTGTTACAGATCAGTTCACCTATTGCTGTGAAATTAGCCACATCTGTGTATTTCAGTGACTTGTCCGAAACGACATCTGAACAACTGAATCTCAATGTGGAGATGATTCGATTCTTGTCTTGGTCGGTGACTCACTGTCCAGCTATTCTTGGGGGAAACCAGTGGGACTTTCTGCTCTGCTCTATGTTGGCCTGGTTGGAGGTGAGACAACGCTCACATGAGATTTTGAGATCAATTTGTATTATAATTTAGACTGCCTCACAAAACTATTCACGGCGCATTCTATCACATCACAACCACACATTTCTATGCGTTTGTGGAACAGTAATTTTCAAAGTTTGCCACAGATTATTTCATTTTAGCTCTAGCTGTGTTTGAAGTCTCTTTCGTGCTGGTAGATATGACTCTGCTCTACTGACAGATTCTTCCCAGTGCTGCTCGGTTTTAAACTCCTTCCAGTTTCCCATCAGTTCTGACCAACTTTCTTGTCCTTAGTGAATAAAAGCCCACAGCCTGATGCTGCCACCACCATGTATCACTGTGGGCTGTTAGTTGTGTTACATACTTTAGTGAAGAGTTAAATTTTACTGTAATTTGACTGAACTACCTTCTTCTCCTTGAATGGTTTGTGTCTTCCCTTTTAAAAAATGCTTTATCTTGCCATTCTCATAGACCAGATTTGTGGAGCTGATGAATGATGCTGGTCCTGTCATCAGGTTCTCTGAGCTGAGCCGCTGTTTTCTTTTTTAACATAACTCAGTTTTTGACTTTATCCAAACACAGACTGCCAGTGAGAACGTGAGCTGTCTGTGGAACCCATGGGTACAGCTGTTTGTGTGCGAGAACTCTGCGTTGATCGTGTCGCTAAACCAGTTCTTCGCATCGCCATCCTCTGACGTCCTGGAGAAGCTGCCAACCGAGCTGGCTGGCGAATGGAAAGATTTCTTCATAGAGGGAATCTACAACATCCTTTTGCCCCTGCCAGTGAGAATCACTGGTATGTGTGTTGCCTTTATGTTAGCAAGTAAATGTACTGCATTTGTAAAATAATTCAGGTACTGCTCAGTGCGCTTAATTTTCCTCGAATGTTTGAATGTTACATTTGAAGTACTTGAAATGGATAAGAATGGATTTCTCCTAAAGATTTCTCACATTGCAAATAATGTAAATACCAGTCCTAATTTTAACATCTTCATTCACTTATTATCTTTGCTTCAATCAGAGGCTTTTCCTGAACCGGATGACCCTGTGTTCCCCATGGCTGTTCTCCAGTCGGTTGGTTTGGCTCTGACTTACGTTCCAGTCCAGCAACTAAACCAAAATTCCTTGCCGCCACGATTTATAGCGGACCAAAAGACCAACCTGCCAGAGCCTCTGCAGACCCTGCTGAACACTCTGTGTCCCCTGCTGCTGTTCAAGGCTAGGCCTTTGCAGATAGCGGTTCACCATATGCTGGAGAAGTAAGGGTTTTTCTTTCTTGTTGTGAGAATTACTTGATTCTGTCAGAAAAACACTGCAGTAAGTCTGTTCTGTAGTAATAAATTCAACATTATAGATCTGTTCTGTCAGGTTAGCTAAAGTTTGCACACAATGTTAAAAAAGCTTTTTTTTGTCTATGCAGAGTGATGCCACAGCTGCCTGAATGTGATGCCGAAGGCGATAGCAATAAGTCTGATGATGACAGAGATGAGCCATGTCTGTAAGTGACAGTAGGAAAATTCTGTTGCCTCATCGCAATACATAATTGAAAAAAAAGAAATGTAAATAAATAAATAAAATGAAACAATTATATATATTTTTTTCAAGTTGTGGTGTGTTTGATCTCAGATCTCCTCCAGCTGCGCTCATGGCCATTCTGTCGACCTGTGAAGAGTTGTGTGACAGCATTCTGACAGCGCTTCAGGTGGGAGAGTTTGCAGTGGTCCAGCCTCTCAGCGTGGAATACTCCTGCATACTGGCTTACCTTCTTGCATGGAAACTACTCCTTACTTTTTTCAAATCCTCCCCCTCCCATGTGAGTCTTTGTCTAATTTCTACTGTAAGAGTGGGTTTATAAAGACTAAAGGAGTTGATTTTGATGTACTGTCACACTTTTTTATGTAGCTGCGTGCCCATTATGCTCAGTATCTGAAGAGAAGCTGCTCTCTTAACAAGCTGCTCCTCCATCTCTTCAAACTGATGCCTGAGAACCCGATTTGCCCAGGCCAGGGGACAGAGACAAAGGAGAGTAAAACTTTCTTCACAGAGAGTTTGCTTCTCACAGTTGACAGTAAGTCACATCGAAACTTTTAGTATATTGCAAAGCTATTTCTATCCTTTGAATGTTTGCACATTTTAACAAACTATATCCATAAATTTAGCAAATCCTGCTAAGAACATGTGCAAATCAAGTTAAATAAGATTTGATGCTGTGTAAATGTGTTTGCACCACTTTTCACACCAAGTTACAACAAGTTTCAATGTATTTTTTGAGTTTATGTGATAGAGCAATACAAACTATAGGATAGTTAAGTGGAAGGAAAATTCCATGTTTTTCAAAGTTTCAACATTAAATATTTTTAACAAATGGCATGACGGTGTGTTCAGCCCAATCATATACGTTAATGGTTGAGTCTGTAAATAAAAACCAAAAAACAAAAAAAGCTTAAAAGGGTTAGAGTTCTTCATTTTCTCTGTGCTGTGAATTGACTGCAGAGAATGTTGGTGTTGAATGGGAGCTCCCCCACCTGGCTTGCAGTGTGTACTACAGCACAGTACAGGACCTGCCTGCCATGGTGCGTCTGTGGTGGAACAGCCAGGAGAAGAGAGTGAGCTCTGCAGTGGAGAAGTTCACCAGTAAATACGTCAGTCCTGTTCTGTCGGCCCAGGAGATCTCCTCGGTCCACGACAGCACTCAGATGTTTGACAGCATGACTGTAAGTTAGCGAGCTAAATGCACTCTGCATACCGTACAAGACAACCTTCAGAAAGCATTTGTTAAACTCTTAATTTGTACCTGCTCTGAAACAGTAATTTTCTAGACTTAAGTCGTTCTAAACTGTCAAGTTTAAAAGATGTAAGCTAATCACTCATGACATAATGGAAAGTAACATATTTAAGTTGTTTCTAATGTAGATCAATCAATCAATCAATCAAATTGTATTTGTATAGCACATTTCAGCAAGGCATTTCAAAGTGCTTTACATCATAAACACAAGAACACAAAGTCATGCAACATATAATAGACAATACATTGTTACATATTACATTTCAAATATATTTAACAGAAATAAATTTCTTGATTTGTCAGCTATGTTCTCTTGATATAGAATATAGTTTGTCGTTTCTGGTGCAGGCTTTGATATTTTCTTATGTGAAAGCCTCTGGGAAGCTTAGAAGCCCTCTTGCTTGGTTTTGGTTTAACATTTCTTATACTGCAACAAAGACATATTTACCGTAAGTTTGAAGCTTACTTTTCAAAGTAGAGGAGGAAACAAAAGGCTGAATATTGACCATTTAAGCTTATACACTTTGGACAGATCCCAAAGGGTTAAAAAGAGAAAACAATTTACACTAATCTGGAGATGCACCTAGCAGAATCTTATAGCTAATTTCTGATCCTTTAATTTTATAAGTTAAAGTCTGCTAATGCAGATTTGAGACAATACAGATTGCTAAGAACAGGATTGAAAATATTTTTATCCAGTCATTGTCAAGTCTTCCTAGTCTCTCTATGAAAAGCCTACCATAAACTTTAATAATTATTCAAAAACAATCATTTTAGAGTTGACATATTAAACTGGATTTTAGCATAATTTCCTGGCTTTTTCAGCCTTTCTGTGATCTGCCGACGGTCTTTGACTCTTCTGCAACTTAAATGAGCAGCTGACATGCTGTACAAAAGGCTTCCAGCATTCCAGGATGCTGGAAACTTATGGCGAAGTTTGAGTTGCATCACCAAATAACATTATCCACATCAGAGTGTTGTTGTTGGCTTGTGGTCCTTAGGGTAGTGCATTGTGAAGTGCACAATTCAGAGACTGAGGTCCAGACAAAAGTCAGGGAGCAAAAACAATCTTTTGCCACGGGAAAAACAGCGAGTTCCCAAATAACTGTCTGGGGAAGTTCAGCAACCCTGGAAACTTACTGCAGTAGACACATCTTGGTTCATTAGTTTGTACACCGTTTCCAGCTGCACAGAAAAACACTTTGACTATGATTCAAAAAATATTACATTTATATGATACATAAAGGAACATCATTTCTTCACTTCTTCACAGCATTCACAGATAAAAAAGAGATAGGATTTTGATATTGCCTTACACTACTCAACATAAAAATAACAGATTCCCATCACCTTTTATTTCTTGGTTCTTTCTCATTCTAAACTAAATGTTTTTTTTTATTTTTTATTTTGAACTTGTTAAATATTTCCATCCTTTGATTGCCAGTAGGTATGATGTTGAATCATTAATCAAATTTTGTGATGCATCATTGCAGTTTAATGAAGGTGCAACATTATACTGTTCTGTTAAATTTAATGAACTCTCATTTGTGTCAGTCCATTAAGTGTGAACTGGGTGTTTAATTGTATATCCGCTGCCTGATTATCTGACTGGAAGACCCCCACTATGGTATTAAGATTATATGTATATATATATATTTTTTAAAATTATGTCTCCTCAGGTTAAAGCCCGCTCAGCAGCGCGAGAGGTGATTGCCATGTACTCCGTGGACGATATCTACATCGAGTTGGTGATTCAGCTACCGCAGAACTACCCTCTGGGCTCCATCACTGTGGAGAGTGGGAGACGTGTGGGCGTCGCCGTGCAGCAGTGGAGGAACTGGATGCTGCAGCTCAGCACCTACCTCATACATCAGGTAGAAAAACAATTAATACACTCTTTTAAGACACTTAAGACTCAGGTGTTTTTAAAGTGCTGGGTGTTTTTATTTGCTGGAATTAGTGGGTAAAAAAAACATTGTTTGTACGGTCAGAACGGCAGCATAATGGAGGGCCTGGCTCTGTGGAAGAACAACGTCGATAAGCGCTTTGAAGGCATCGAGGACTGCATGATCTGTTTTTCGGTTATTCACGGCTCCAACTACTCCCTGCCTAAGAAAGCTTGTCGTACCTGCAAGAAGAAGTTCCATTCTGCTTGTCTGGTGAGACATGTGATATTGAAGTATTAATATTCTTTAAGCAACCAGTGGCAGCTTGCATTGATATTGTCTTTTTCTTCTTCTCCAGTACAAATGGTTCACTTCCAGCAACAAGTCCACCTGCCCGCTCTGCAGAGAAACCTTCTTTTAGTCCTCTGTGTCTGCTCTGGATGAAAGAAGACGACTCTTACTGGAGGGCTGGACGCTTACAAAATGTTATCACAATTTTATTTCAGAATGCTGTATAATTTGTTGGATTATTCAAGTAATTAAAAACAATCTGGAGAAATTATGCAAAATCTGGAGCTATTCATATTTTAGCCTCCCAGATGTCTATACTCTGACATGTGGCCCAAACTGTGTGTACATAGCAGTGCTTTTCCTGTATTGCTTATGTGAAAGATCAGTGCCCTCATGTGATTGTTTTTATATTTCCTGTTATGTAGCTGTTTGTTCTTTGAGTCCCCACATACAGACAGAAAACATTGTGATTAAATTGATTTGATTTATCACAGGAAGTAAAATGAGTTTTGAAATATGAGAAAGATCTTGAAGTGTGAAAAGCTGCTTGAAGCAATGGTAGATCCAAGTCAGTTTTTGGTGAAAAATTTCCTAATATTTAGGAGTGTAACGCGACTATCTGTTTAGAGACATTTGATCTGTCAGAAACAGGAATTTAAGACAAAATATCCAAATGCACACAAATATTGGGGCCTGTGTGTCTTACACTGTGCCTAAATTCACCTGTAAATGTTGAAAAGTAATTTGAATAAAACATTCTGAATTATATTGAATGAAATGTCCTGATTCATCACAAATACATGTGCAAATATATATTTGACTGTCTTCACGAATTTTTGACATAAAATATTTTTTCTCTTTTTCTTTTTTTTATTTTTACAGAAGCTTTAGATGCTTCCCTCTTTAGCAAACAGTACATGCTTCCCGCTTTAGTAAAGATACTGGTTTCATTTTCCAGCAGGACTTTTTACCTGCCCACACTGATTTAATCATCATGATTTCACTGGGCTGGTTTGGCCGCAAACTCTTCTAGCCTAAACGCCCATTAAAAATCTCAGGGATTTTTTTCAAGAGGAAGATGAGAGATCAGGTTTGCTGAAGGCTGCTATCAAAGCAAAGGAAGTCTCTACTCTGCCTCAATGTCACAGTGATTTAAAAATTTATGCAAAAAGCAATCAAAGTGTTGAATCCATAAATATGGTGCATGAACATGCCTTTCAGTGTTAAAAATATATTTTGTTGGTTTGTGTTCATAGAAATTGATGTTCTAATTTATTGCAAGCTTAATAAAAACACCAAGCAATGTCTACAAAATCCAATGCATCTTCTTTGCATGATAGAACAGTATATTCAGAAAAGTTGCAAATCACATTTACTCAAGTTTTGGTTTTTATTTGTTAAAAATGTGCATATCCGAACAAAAAAAAATTAAAAATGAGATCCCTAACTGATGAACTTTCACATAAAAAGATGTGTTTAGTAAATTTAACATGTATGGCATGAACAGCTTGAGACTGTTCATGACAGACATAATAAAGTCAATTCAGCTGAAATCAAGGTGAAGCTTTTCCCACTTCCAACCTAAGCCCCCCGTTGTAAGGTTTCCAAATAAGCATATCGAAACAACAACAACAAAAAAAAAACCCTTCCAAGACTGGCTTGTAATTAGCTTTAGTCCGTAGCTGCTGCACCGGTACCACAAGCTCATTTGTCTTGGGTCCACCACATCCTCCTGCTGAATAATTTATCTGCTTAATGGAGACTTGCTCTCATCACCGTTGTTCCTATGGAATTAATTATGACAGATTAAGCATGATCAATGAATTAATTCCTTTGATTTTCTCTGCTGTCTGAAGCTTGTGTGTAAGTGTGTCATTTGTAATTCATTATTGTGGTCAAATTTTATCAATACATACAAGGGACATTCATCATCATCTGCCCTTGACCTTTTTAATTGCCATTGATCTGTTTGGCAGGCATAAATATTTATACTGAAGGCTCCCTCTGTCTCATGAGTTTTGACAGAAACACTGAGACCAAGAGCCTCAAGTTTTATTGCTCATTATCTGCTTGATTAAGCGTTGGTGCAAATGTTATGAACTACATGCAGTACAGTCCTGTGTAAAGCCAATTCTTTGCACAGGCTTAATCAAATTTCACCAGAAGGTGGCAGTGTTACCACACAAAGTCTGGAAGTCTGCAGGAGAACAATTACCTGCAACAATGGCCATATTACGCTGCCAGGAAAGGCATTGTTTTGTGCTTTGGAAGTGGAACCCTCAAAGACTGCAAATTCATTGTTTATTTTTTTTGTTTGCTTGTTTTTTGTGACTCTTACTTTTTTTGTAAGTACATAAAGATGTGGATTAAAAAGGAATTTAATCAAAAGAATTCAATAGAAAAAGTTTCTTAAAAATCCTGCTGCTTTGACACACTAGAAATTATGTGTATTATGTTGTTTTCTTTGAGACCGAAGATAATTGGAAAGCTGGCTGTAAGGCGGCTCCAGTAGTTGGTCCTGTTGCCTCACAAAGTTCGAAGTTGGCCGCTCCAAAGCCTGGCTGGTAGAGGAGGAGTTTTTATATTTTCCATGTTTATATGTTGATCTTCTGTGGACACTTCCAGTTCCTCCATGAGCCTAAAACATGCATGAGGTTAATTTGTGATGAAATTCCCCTATAGGTCGTGATTATGTTTGGTCTTATTCTTCAGATCTTTTCCAGTTCTTTACCCAGTGACTGATGTTGCGATGAATTCCAGCAGTCATTCTAAGACTAAGAGGTTATTAAAAGGCTATGGAGAGAGAAGCAGATAATAGATCTAAAAGATTATAGACTCCTCCAGCCTTTCCATCATACAATTAACAAAATTGCATAAACTTCTAAAACTTATCTTACAAATAAAAAACGGTGCACTTCGCAAACAGTTAAACATGGTAGAGGAAGCATCATGCTGTGCATATCTTAGAGGCTGCTACAGACTTGAAACTAGGATGGTGGTCCACCTTTCAGAAGGACAACAACTCTTAAACATATAAATAAAACTACGAATGAAGGGCTTCGATTCTGAACTGTCAGAATGGCCAAGCCAAAGTCCAGATTTCAATTTAAATAAGAATCTGTGATAAGACTTTAAACATTTATGTTCACTGACTCTTTAAAGCCAATCTTGTACTATTTTTCTAAAAATAGTTGTAGCAAAATAGTTTTGCTAAAACTGGAGACATGCAGAATGTGCATTCATATGTGGGTTTTCTCGAGGTACTTTGGTTGTCTCTCATGCCTGTCCTGCTATTAAATGTGTTCTTATGGGTGCCCCCTGTTTCTTGACCAAATAAACACTGCAGATAAGCACTCACAACCTTGCAAAATAAGGCAGATATAAGCAATGCATGTGTGATGTTCCTACAAAATATTGAGTCAGAGGACGCCAATACAAAAACATGCTGCATTTTTCAGATTTTTATTCCTAAAACCTTTTAAAAGTTTGTATCTTTTTCATCCACTTCACAACTGAGCATTGGAAATTGTGTCTGTTAAATAAAATTAAAAATGAATACATTTAGAAGGCACTGTAGCTGTGAAAGTATTACAGAAATTTACCTCTATTTGATTTTAACCCACTCACATGACCCTTCTGTACAACATCAGGCTAATTAGCAGTCATCCTGGTTGTAGCCACTCTGACAACTGGCCTCTGTGACTGCACAGCCCAGTTTGTACAAACTTAGTAACCTGATAACTAAGTTCACCTGATAACTATCCAGACCAGGTTCGTTCTAATTTAACTCCTCCAAACCCATTTGTGAGCCTTTCAGCATTCAAAGCAAGGGCAGAAAGATAGTCACGTCCTGGTCATGCCTCTCCCCAACATTTCATGCTGCCACTCATCTCTGGAAAGGGGATTCGAATTACTGTGTGTGTGTGTGTGTGTGTGTGTGTGTGCGGGTGTGTGTGTATTTTGAGCCATACAAGCACATTTGCCCAACAGTATAACTGCTAATATTAGTTCCGTTGAATTGAATCCCAGACAGTCATTCTGCTTCCCTCTTTGCAGCTGGTCTCCTACTCTGTGCCTCCCTCTCATGTTCTCCATCATGCAGCAAAAATAAAAAATAAAATAATGTTTGAAATCCCACACAGCACATAGTCAATATCTGAATTTGATTGTTATCCTGCAAATTTATCAAGAGAATTTAATCCTAAAACAAAGCAGGGAGCTTTACATTCTGGGCTATTTTACTCATGGAAAGGGATCGATTTTATTAACATTTGCAGTTTTCCCATAATGAAGGCAATAAACAAAGATTATTGACCTCAGGCTATTGGCTCCCACACCTGCATTTGTCTCAGCCATTATGAAGGGATATGTCTGCTAGGTCTGCCACAGTTTAAATCAGTTGATATTAGTCTGTCATCACGTACAAGCCTTTTATAGTTTTCTATTACTGCTGCCATGTTGCAGCTGCAGTGGAGGACACCAAAGATCAGGTGACTGAGTGTGCTGTTTTCCAAAGACTGGCTGGTATTCAGAATACAATGAACAGTTTTCAGAAAGCAACTGAACTGAAAAAGAGAAAAGAAATCAGTTTTTTTCTCTGTTTTACAGTGCATTGCAAAAATTTTCATATTGTTTTATTTTGGTTTTCACATTTATATTTTTGTACCTCTTAAACAGAGTTTAAAATATAAACTCTGTTTTCAAAGCAGTAGTTAAAGTACGGAAATGAGTAATGGGCAGAATTATATACCTGTTAATAATTTGCTTTAATATTTCTCAAGTATTTATAGACTGAATGAATATGTGTATATATAGTCAGGTAGTTTAACGTGTAATCCAAAATGTGGTTAACATAAGCAGTCTGCCATCTGTCTTCCAATCAACTCTGACCAATTTCCTGTTGGTGCTAAAGTTACGCATTATACCATCACTACCATGTGCACAATGTCTTTAGGTGCAATATTAAATTTTGCAGCACACACACCAGGTCTCAATTAGAACAAATAGTTTAGCTCATCTAACCAGTTCACCTAATACTGGTTTGGAAACCAGATATTATTTTTCTTCTGACTCCAAGTCTTGTACTTAGAGTTCTTCTAGGACATAAAATTCCAATAAAATACATCAAAGTTTATAGTAGCTTAACACAATTTGAAAAGGTGATGTAAATACATTAATAATAAATTCGTCTTAATACAGCATGTGAGGAAATCATAACAAAAGACAAATTTTATTCTGTTTGATTTAGGAGCGCTCTCACTATGCTTTTCTGAATATTCTGTTTCTTTTAAAATTTATTTAAAAAGTCTATTTTTATAAATATGTTTTATCAGTCAAAATGCCTGCAATTTGGCTAAGCATTTCAAAGGCTCATTTTCAGCCAAAAGGAACCAATTTCTTCACAAGAGGATTCTCAAGCATTTAGAGGCAGTGCCCACAGTTCACATTCAAGCACCATAAGCACAAGCCTGCCAACAAATAAAACTGCCTGTGTTTTAATTCATTTATTTTTTTCCTACCAGAAAACCTTCTGCACATAGCTCTATTGAGCACAACTTCGGAACTTGGAAGTGGAAATGACAGTATGAAAGGAAGTGTGAAGGAGATCTGAGTAGGAAAAGACAATTTCAGATGCAACACGGACAAATGCATGAGAAAAACCTAATGAATATTTCAGACTGTATGAGATAATTCGTCCACGTGAGCCAGACAGGCAGTTCACACTGGGAAACCTTTGCTGTCGGTTCTTGATAAATTCATCCTTTACA